GCTGCCTCCGGGAACTCCAGAGAGAGTATTCTCGCTCTCTTCCCCCATCCCACTCCCTAACCTTAAAATGATGAGTCCAAATATCACAGACTGGCCTACATATTTCCCTGGAACAGCTGTCCTGCAGAATCACTAAAACTTGGGTTAAAAATAGTCTCCGTCTCTAAAACAAGGTTGGGTCCCTGGGAACAAAGCCCTCTTAGAAATGTCCCCACCTCCATAAAGGACACCCAAAAGCTGACCCAGCTTTGTCCCCAGGGCTCATCATTGCTCGTGACCACCTCTCCCTGCTCTGGAAACAGATCTCTGCCTAAAACCTTGTCACATTCTTGGTCCAGCTATGGAAGAGAGGCAGGGGGAGGAAGAGTGATGATATTACAGCCAAGCTACAAGCTTGCGTCTTTATTTCCATTTTATAAATCCCCCAATAGGCTCCGAGACTTTCCTTTCCCTCTGGTCTACTTCTGAATGCCCCTCACCAACACCTAAGTCAAGATTGCATGATTTGAACAGGCTCTTCATTGTGTTTTGCTTTTTTAATTAAAAAAAAATTTTTTTTCAATAACCATTGACATACAATATTATATTCGTTTCAGGTACGCAGCATAGTGGTTAGACATTTATATAACTTACAAAGTGATTCCCCCCATACGCCTAGTACCCTTTGGGCACCACACATAGTTATTCCAATATTGTTGACTAGATTCCTTAGGCTGTACTTTCCATCCTGGTGACTGTTTTTGTGACAGTCACATTTTAATCCCCCTTTGCACCCATTTACCCAACCCCCCTCCCATCTGGCATCAAAATGTTCTCTGTATCTATGAGTTTGTTTCTGTTTTGTTTGTTCATTTATTTTGTGTTGTTGTTTTCAGAGACTTTAACTAACATGCTTGAATTTCCAGGAAAAGAGGATGAATTTCAATCTTGTGGCTCACTTCAAAGGTACTGTGATGAAGGTACTGTTTCCCCAGAGCAGCCCCGCCCACAGAAAGGTCCTATTAGGTTTCCAGGTCGCATCGGCAGTGAGGAGGGCAAGATGGGGTTTAAGCACAGAACGCAGGGTTAGAATTCTGCAGCACCAGGAGACAGGGTTCTGAACAGCCCACCTAAAGAACACCTGCCCCCTTGCTGATGGCTTCTCCCTCCCCCTTGGCGAGCAGGGAGACACATTTTCCTGGGCGGTGGGTAGGCGTGAGAATCAGCTGCCTGCTGTTGTGGGCAGACCTGTTTCTCAGCTTCAGAAAACAATGCCAGTCTATCAGGTTCAATAGGGAGGCTCCCGTGAACTCCTACCCTCTGCGCCCGTATGAGGCTTGCTGGGAGGACAGTGGCTCCTCAGGCTGCCCAGACCTTCCCCTTGGCAGCTGGCACCTCCGAAGCATATTTCAATTGACAAGATCCAAAATGAGTCACAGTTGCTTAGGAAAGGTATTTGCAGCAGAAGGGAGAGCAGTTCCCTACTGCGTTGATTTACCCATCCTCCGATCATAAACTTGAGGGTGACCCCAGGCACACAGCAGTTCCACTGCATTGACCCAGGGACACGTTCAAGGCATCCCAGCCCCGGGATACGCCTGTGGGAGAAGGCCAGGGAGGGACGGCAGCTATGTTAAGCATTTCAGAAGAATTAGATGGTAATCATGGCTGCAGAATCTATGGGTATTGGAATCCTGTCCTGCAAGGACTCAAGGACACAGATGCAGGAGAAATGACCAAGAGAAGCAGCACAATGCTGTGTCATTAGCTAAATACTGTGCCTCAAATGTGCAAAACCAGTACAGATCCATGGCCTCTTCCAGTTCACATTTTGTACCCAGGAGCACCCCGCCTCCCCAAATACCCCTGGGTCTCTTCCCTGCTGATGTGCTGGGTCCAGGAGGTGTTTGGGGAGGAAGGGGTGCAAATATATAATGAGCTTGCATGTGAGGCTGGAATGTCCACACACACACAAGGGAAGTCCCACTGGTGCAGGATGAAGCAAAGGGTGGGTAGAAAGAGAAGGGATAGGGGAGAGGTCTCTTGTATTCACACCCCAAGCCCCCAAAATATTAGGGGCAGACCTGCCCTTATGTGACAGCCAATGGTGTTGGCCACCAGGGTCTCAGGGGAACCAGACCCAGGAGCTGAGTGGAGAGAACCCGGTAACATTGGTCGGGGTAACTCCTCCTGCTGGTTGCCCTGGCAACCAAGTCTCCACTGCTGGCAAAGGCCTGAGGGCCAGCTAAGGTCAGGGCTTGGAGGGGAGGTGGCTAAGAGGACGAATGGCTGGTTCCAGGATCCCTCAGGGTACGGGGCACGAGGATCCCCTCTGGGCCAGGAAAACGGGAAGAGGCTGAGGCCCTTTCCTTCCAAAGGCAGACCGTGCACCACCAGGGAGCTCTGCTCTCGGCCCTCAGGCAACCCTCCCTTTCCACATACACAGACCAGAGGTCCGTGCGTATTACACTATCATTGTTCAACCACTAAACTCCAGGACGATCAAAGCCATACTGACATCAGATGAAAACACAGGAAGCTTACATTCAACGCCATTAACACTTTTTGAAAAAGGAGAGAATAAAGCCATCTGTTTGGGGGGCAGTGCTGTGCCTGCTACCCACTGGGAATGACTTCTGGTGACTCCCTGGTCCAGTCCTTGGGGGTCAGAGGCCAGGCTGCCAGGGTGGATGACAGTGGAATATGTTAATTTTCTAGCCAGGAAACATTGGGGGTGAAAGCAGGAGAGGTGGAAGGGAGTTCGCTCTGTGAGCAGCCAGGAGCCACCGGGAGCCACCGGGGTCTGCGCTGCACTGGGCAGGGAGGAGCCCCGAAAAGAATCGCTGGCATTTGCTGTGAGCCTCAGTGTGTGAGTTGTCCATGGAAAGAGCGCTGGCCGGCATCAGGACACCCAGGTCCAGGCTCAGCCCTGACCCAGGCTGGCCCTGCAACCCAGAATAGGAAATAGCCCCTAGGCCTCAGTTTCCCCTCCAGCACCTAGGTCAGGGCCGAGGTGCTAGCACAGAGCTGGGGGAAGCTGTTATCTCCCACATTCGTGTCCTCCCCTCCATCAGTGAAAGATGACTCTTGTCCCCTGAGAGAATGTGAGGAGGACGAGGGCTCTTGGCTGAGAACAGTCAGGACAAAGTGTATCTGTGAGAGTGGGAAGGGGGAGGGAACAGCCACCAGAGGCATCGGGCCCTATCCCTTTCCCGGCAGACCCCAGGGGCCCAAGCTGCATTCTGGAAGGTTAACAGTGGCTGCAAAGAAGTGGAATACGTGTCTGAGACAGCCAGAGAGAGCTGGTTCTTCATGAAGACGCACTATCGCTACAAGTCCACTCCCTGGACCGGAGACACAGAGCAGGTACACACGCACCCTATTCACAGCTGGATACACAGGGGGATCTGCAGGCAAGCTCACAGGGTGATCGGGACAGAGCCCCAACCTGGGGGAACACCCCCCCCCCCCTCAGTGCAGAGAAGAGCTGTGGCACAGCAGACCTGGCTACTGTCCTCTGAATGGCCTGCTGCAAGGGTGGCCCTCGGCTGGGGTCAGGGGACTTGGATTACAGGAGGGTTCCTGTAATTCCCAGGACTAATAACCAGCTTGCAGAGCCCCAACTGTCTGCACAATGTGGCTTATGCTGAACACCTGCTCTGCATCTGAGACTCTGGGGCTTCGGTATGTTCGAGGCAGAGGATGCCTGGGTGACCAGCACCCGGTAAAATCCCTGAGCTCTGAGTCTCCAGTAAGTTTCCCAATTGGCACCGTTTACATGTGTTGTCACACTTGTTGCTGGGGGACTGCACTGGTATCTCCCAGACTTCGCCCCTGTGCCTTTTCCCTTTGTGGGTGCTGCTAGGTGGGGTTTCACTATAATAAATCAGAGCCATGAGTACAGGTCTATGCTGAGTCCTGTGAACCTCCTAGTGAATTACCAAACCTGACAGTGGTCTTGGGGACCCCTGACACATACCCCATCCTGATCTGCCAGGCAAGGCCTGGGACACTGAAGTGCCTGCTACTGGCCTGGGCCTCAGAACTCAGGGTGGGAATTACTGATTCTGCCGCTGAGTCCCAGCCTCCTCCCCAGTCTCCACACCCACACGTGGACCCGTACGAGTCGAGGACGCGGTTCCGGAGCAGCTCCTTTAGACAGCGCTGACACACACGGTAGCAGCCTCGTTTCTCCCAGTCCTGAGCCGCAGGGACCTTGAAGCTTAGGACCGGAGGACACTTTGCTTTCTTAGACCCAGCTGTCCTGCTCACCCAACACCAGCACACACTGGGATCACACAGCCAAGACCTGAGGGTGTTCAAACCCATGGCAACAGCCTACACAACCCTCTGCATCAGGACAGGAAAAAGTCAGACCATTTCCCAAAGGGGAAACCGGCCAGGCGGGGTTACGTAAATGCTGCTCCGTCCCCAGGCCATCGCCGCCATCCCTGCCTCCCTCTCTCTCCCACAGCAGATGGGAGACCCCGAGGCCGGACCGCGTTCAGGCGCTCGAGAGTGCTGACGGATCTGACTCACCTCAGGTTACACGGCTCATCAGGGCAGGTGGAGGATGCGACTCCAGGTCCCGCCTCCCAGGGCAATGTTCCTGTGAGGGGCAGTCCCAATACCCAATAGACGGCACTGGCAAAATTCTGTACAGTCCACACCCCGCATGCTCGGGAGCATCCAAATGGAAAAGAAGATGCCCAAGCAGGCCCTCGGGAGACGCTGGGAGCAGCTGTGAGGGCCAGGCTGTGCCTTCATTCTCGGTCCCTGTCTTAATTTCAGGAAGCTCAGAGAGCGTCTGCCCTGGTCAACATCGACCAGCTACCAGGAAGAACCACCCAGGGTTACCCCTTTACGCTGAGTAGAGAGTGGAAATAAACAAATGGACAGCAGCATGTAAGAGAAATGACTTAACTTTATAAAAATGTGATAGTACAGCAAGATTTGATTGGGTGTTTTTTTTTTTTTTCTTTTTTTTCCTGGCAAGTAAAGTTTATAAAAAAACACCTGGAATAAAAATTAGAAACAGAACTAATAAAAATTAGAATCATGAACATTTCAAGGAAATAAAGTCATTTGGAAAGACAGTGAAGAGAGACAATGAGCAGCAAAAGCAGCAGCTTTGTCGTGATGACAAAACAGTGAGGGACTGAAGGGAACCTGACCTTTCAACCCAGGCAGAACTGAGGGGCTGGGGAAATGGTGGGCAGTGATCGCCAGAGAGGCACGAAGACTTCCCACATGGGACTCTGCTGCCCGCTGGCCCAGCGGGGTGCAGGAGACAGCGACACCCCTTGCACACAGACCCGCCCCCACCCTCCTCTTCCAGGGCCCACCAGCCGTGGGCAGTGATTCAGAGCCCTGTCCCTACAAGCGGGCACCACACAACAAGCCTCCTCCTCTGTGCACCTGTGCCAGCCTGCGTCACTGCAGGTCCCTATCCCACGGTGGTGAGCTCAGTGGGAGAAAACTCATCAGAATGTCAACCTGAGCTAGGATGACAAACCGGCCAGGGAGAGCTAAGGACACCAGACATACAAGGCTACATACAAAACACTTTCTGAAAATGCCTCATCACAGCTGGGGCAGAGTGAGGACCACCATGGCGAGGCAGCCTGGGAAGCCCCCAGCAATAACCCCCAGCCTCTTTCCAAGGGGAAGTCCTTAGCTGGCTGCCACAAGGACACTGGGGGGATTCTCGACTACATTCTGAGGTAGTCTAACTGCGATTTGCACAGGTAGCTGAGCATGTGGGGGGAGGGGGCAGAAAAGTTGCCACGGAGAGAAAAGGCTAACGTATGTAACGAGACCAGCTACACTACAAGTGAGCTCGGAGATGACTAGACTGTGGCTTGGGGTCAGGGGAGCCGGCGGCAGGGCTCACTCAGATCTGGGCATACGCAGCTCTTGCTGCAGCTGTGGGGAAGGAGTTGCGGGAATCCCTGGGTCCCTGGAAGGATTTCCTGGCCCAGGGCAACAGCAACTGTGAGGTGAGGGGTGTCCCTCCTACTGGCTCAGGTGGTGATGGTTTTGAGCCAGGGAACTTGACAGCTTTGGGGTGAGGCATCCCAAGGTCCCCTTCAGTGATGACTTAACTCGTTTTAGGGGAATTAATACTTCTAGACTTGAACCAGGAAAGCATTCAAGGTCCCTGCTGAGGGAGAAGTCAGACCCTCAGCCACCATAGAAAAAGAAGTAAGGACAACCAAGGTCAAAGAGATTGCTAGACTCCCCTCCCTGTCCATGCTAATGAACACCCTTTGCCCTTCTGCCAGCACTCCGAATTCTAAGTTGGGACGGACTGTTCCAAAGGGTTCGGCGGTGGCAGCTGTGTAGATCTCAGTATTTTCTCTGCTTTCCACATTTCCGCAAACGCCTTCTGGGCTGGAGCTCACCGAAGTCCTCGATTTCGTTTTCATAATCATCTTCCTGAACGATTCCTATTTAAAAAGCACACAAAAAGAAAAGAGAAAGAAACAACATGCAGAATGATGTTTTCCCCCTCTCCACTGCAAAATATAACCTCCTAGTAAAACTCAATGTCTCTGTAATTGTCGCTGTAACGTAAAGAGGAAAGCCTTCTGCCAGGGCACCACAGAGTGAGGCCGTGTCTTTGAGCCAAAGCCAGAGGAACCCCTCTTCTCTAGAATTATCTTACAGGCCTTAGAGTAGAGGCCCTTTAAATGGAATAAATCAAACAAAACCTAAACTCAACCACAGACTTGACTTGATATACCAGTTAGCTTCCTTTTGAAATAATAACCAACACCAGAGTCCCAGGTTTTTTATTGGTACACATGTGCCAAATCCCCTCAAGTTTTCCCCAGCTTTAGGGTCTGAATTTTCCAGTAGCATCTGGAGGAAAAGAACTCACAGAAGGGTGACCTGGGGTGAGCGGAATACTTAAGAGCATGAAGAAATGTAAGCAGGCAGGGAGGGGGCAGCAGTTGAAATGGGCAAGAGAGAAGACATCCCAGATCAAATGACACTTGACAATTCCGACAATTCCAGGCAATTCCGTCTGGAGAGAAAGCTGACTCATCACACAAGCCTTGACTGCTTGTAGGAAGACACACGCAGGCTGCCCTGATGACTGTGTTTGTTTTCTATCCCCAAGCCCAAGAGAGTTCTAACACATACTAAACACTTAATAAATAATCATTAGCTCGAATGCAAACACACTGACCAAGGAATAGCTCTACACTACTTTAGGTAAACTTGGGAGTCAGTATTCTGAGCACGAGTAGAGACTGAACAGCATTGATAAGAGGCAAAAGAGGTCTTTGAAAAAGCAACTAAGATGAGCCCAGAGTAATGCCCTCACAGTCAGATGGCTAACAATCTGATCAGCGGGTAATGCTCCCAGACAGAGAGTGGTCAATACCGACGGCACAGGCAGCCCCACTTCAGACTGACCTGCAAGTCAGCAGAACCAAGAGCAATATCCTAGGACAGATGGCTCCTTACCTTCCTCCAAGTGCAGTTCTGTTTTCTCCAGCCACTTCCTCGCTTCCTTGACTAACGGGATCAGAGTGTTGACGAGCCGGGTCATCATCTCCTCCGCTATGGGAACCAAAGAACAGGGCTCCAAGTGAAGGGGTGCTGTAGGGTCCAAACCCCTCAAACCTCCCAAGCGTGTGTCTCTGTGCTACCACTGAGGAAAATGACAGGTAAGGACCCACAGCTGCCTTCTGCCGCCAGAAGCATAAACTACAATTGAATGCTAGCCTGATGCCCTCACTGTGAGTCTACAGAGTGCCAACAGCAAGCCTCTCAAGGAAGCTTTGTTCCAAGTGTCATTAAACCTAAAACAGTCGTGCCTGAATTATAGAGTGATTCTAAAATATGCAATTTCACTCATTTTATATGTAGCATAACTTCCATTCAGTGTTTCTAAGAAGTAGCTAATGAAGTTACAGGAAATCGGAATCAAAGACCCGCTGAATTGTCATCATTAAAGGCTCACGCTAGCTGTGGTTTATGCCCCCCTCCTAAAAGGAAAAGACCAGCTATGCACATCCAGGTCTTAGTCCTGAGTGAGTGCTCAAGGAATGATCGCCAAATGAAGGAATCAAGCTTAAAGAGCTTCCTCGAGACTTTAAACGTTCTCCTAGTATCGTCTCCACTGAGCCAGTTAGCAAGCCCTTTTCTTGTATATAGGGCCAAGGAAACATCCGGCCCAGGATAACCAGGAAGTTTTAACTGGGGCAAGGGTGGTCCAAACCATGGGTTTTGCTCTAATTTGAGAACACACAGTCCTCACCTGTATCTCTGCAAACGCCAAGTTCCATCACCCCAGGTAGACCTCAACAAAAGGACTTGACTCTGACATGTGTTCCCAAAGCCCAGGTTCTAACACTATCTGGGCCCCCATTTCCAAGGGCCCCTTACCGCCAGCCCAGGTCTTCTGCCTGTAGAAGTCCTCCACAGCATCCGAGACCTTCTTGATGTTCTCCTGGATCTTCCTCTGCAGCATGCGGCTGTGCTCTTTAGAGCCCTGATTGCGAATCCGCACGCTCTGCTCGATGTCCTGCACTACCTGCCTGCCTTGGTCAATGGCCGGGTCTACCTTCTCACGGAAAAATTCAGAGTATTTCTGGTAGGCCATCTGCTGCCTCTGGTGGCCCTCCAGGCGGATGTGATGCTCAAAAGACTCGCTATTCCTCTCCCGACCTTCCTTGTCATCCAGCTCAGCCTCAGATAGGGCCACCGCCTCCGAAGTCTCTCCCTCAAAGGCTTTACTGGAGCTGAAATAGTTCTCAAGACCTCGGGTGAACTTCACTCCACACAGGTCGCACTGGGTCCTGTCAATGTCAGCCTTTTTGAAGATCCCGGTCCCAGGCTCCCCGGTCTCCTCTCTGGAGCACCCTGTCTGGGCACTCACCCTTCTCTTCCAGCTGATGCACAGGGACACCACCAGGCACGCTCTCCTCAACTTCCGCCGGATGGAAGCCTTCCGCTGTTTCTGGGAGAGGATGGTGGCAAGGAGGGAGTCCCGGTCCTCTAATGCCAGCTCATCCATCTCGTCCTGACCAAACTCACACTGTGGTTCAGCAAAGTAGTCCACGGGGTCCAGAGAGAGCAAGCGGTTCAGTTTGACCTCCTCATGATAGAGGCCGCGGACCATGACCCCTTTGGTGTGCATGCTGTCCCACCGCCAGTGACAGTCCATAAGGTACTCCTCATCCCGCTCAAAGAGCAGGTCCTGCAGTGCTTCGGCCACAGACTTCACATCAGCCGCCATCAACACCCGCTTCACCACGTTCCGGAGCCTCTCGGGGACTTGGTTTGGGAAGTTCACACTCATCAGCTGCAGCCTCTTCTCGACCTCCTGGAAGTGGTGGTACAGCAGAGGCTTGCACAGCGGCTGCAGAACCACCTCGGCATTCACCAGCATCACCAAGCACAGCACCAGGGTCCGCTCTGCCTCCCCGGAGACCACGTAGTCCACGTCACTGAAGGCATCGAGCAGGACATTGAAGTGCATATTCTCGTAGCCGCATAGCACCCTGGCGAGGTAGGAGAGGTGGAATCGGAAATCCTGAATGGCTCTTGTCACATCCTTCGGTTTGTACTCCTGAATGATGGAGAACACGTCCCCAAGCTCCTTGTCCTTCTTGCTGAACAGAAACTCCCAGTAGTGCATGAGCGCGATGTAGCTTTTGGGGAGGCACAGGACGGTGCTCTTCCAGAGGCGGGCCAGGACCACTCCGCAGTGGACAAACTGGAACTCCAACAGGGCCACTGTGTTCCCAATGCTGGGGATGAGTGGTTCTTTGCACCTCTTGACAAGGACGTTCATGAAACGGAAGAAGAACCTCTTGTAGTTTTCTGGGTTCCTGTGCACGTAGAGCTGGTCGAGGCAGCTCTCCAGCAGCCGGATGAAACACAGGTGGGTCTTCTCGGTGCTCTCGTCATCTTTGTTGGGCGCCAGCATGCCGAACTTCCCCTCTATTCCTTTCAGCCTGCTGCCTCGCCCCCTGCCCCTTTCCTCTTTCTCCAATGCTAGAGCTTTGAGCTCCCTGTGGTAGTTGTCTTCCTCCTGGTGGAGCAGCTTCCCAAACTCCTCGGGGTAATTGGAAGAGAGAAGGAAGGCCTGCATGGCGCTCAGCCACAGGTCGGTAGATTCCCGGCGGCTCCGTGCCCTTTCGTTCTGAAACTGAAAATAGATGTACTCTCTCAGAGCGAACCTGTAGGATCGAAAGGATTTGTAATTCAGTTTGAGGATTTCCTTGCATGCCATGGGGTTTTCTGACAGCACTCGCTGGTGGAAGTGCTTAGGGAAGAGGGCCTTCAAGATGGATTTGCAATGGCTGTACTTGTCTGTCGGCAAAATATTATCAATTCCTTCAAGTTCTTCAGCTAAGATTTTAGGGAATACTTTTTTGGCTTCCAAAAGCAATCCACTGATTGCCACCTGGTGTGTTTTTGACTGAACCAAACACCTGGCCTCACAACGCCGCAGAGGCCTGTGGTAATCTTCACAGTTTTCATCCTCACATTTGAGGCCAACGATAAACCGCGTGCAGACATCCGGGTAGGTCTTCCCAAGCAGGCTCTGTGTGATCTGGCACAGCCTGCTCAACAGGTGTTTGTTTAGGGCCAGTTTCACTTGGTCAGTCAAGATCAAGAAATGGTCTTTGGTTTTCTTCTCTCTCAAATTCAAATCCAGGCCAACAATTATTTTTAATATGGGTCCAGGGTCGTTCTGAGCTATCTGGCAATACTTGGCATCCACTTGAGAAATCCCAAAAAACTCAAAGCAAGACTTGACCATATCCTTCTCAGCATTGTTGTTCACTCTCTTGAGGGCTCTGACCAGACTGAGGAGGACTTCCAGCCCCCCTGGAGCCAGGGCCAGCACCTTCTGCGGGTCCTCCTCACACTGGCTGGCGGCCTCGTAGAGCGCTTCCACCACGCCGGCCGCGTGGTTGAGCGTGTCAAACTTGAAGAAGGCGTCCTTGAGCTTCTGAAAGTCTCTCAGGATCACCCCCAGCAGGAACTGGGCCTCAGCGATGCCGGACTGCTGCCTGGTTTGGGAGCAGAGATCAAGGGCTTCTGTCAGAATGGCCTGGGTGTGCTCTACATCCGAACCCCGGGCCACATTGAGGCGGGCGGCCTCCAGCAGACATGAGGCCTGGAAGTCCTTGTCAGCGGTGAGTCTGGCAGCCTCTAGGAGGTAGCCATGCTGCTTCATCAGCAAGGCAGCCTCTTCTCTCCGGCCTTCCCTGTCCAGCAGGTCTGCGGCTTCTGTCAGCCGTTTCCGGGACTTCAGGAACTCCAGCTGGTCGTCTGTGTCCAGCTTCGAGAGGACAGCCATCATCTCTTTGGTCTTGTTTGCACTCAGGTACTTCGCTGCAGCCTCCAAGTAGAACTGACTGGCTGAATAGGAGAGCTTGAATACAGGAAGGGTCTTGGCCCTTAGCATTTCTTCATACCTGCAATGACAGGTGACTCAAATCATCTCATTATCACTCAACCAATAGAAAACATCCTCCAACATGCAGTGCAGAGCAACTTAAACAGAACTGTCACACATAGTTATAAATTACAAAATAGGACCTCAACTTATTATCCAGCTTCTTTAAAACTGCATCATTTTACAATGACAAAATTAATTCTTGATTCTCCAAAGGAACCAAGCATTAGCAAAATAGAGTAGAGTTGCAACCTAAGCAAGTGAGAGGTAAGTTTCAAAGTCAATCTCTAGGGCAAAAATTATGCACAGTCAAAATTACCCTTGAAAAATAAATTCCTTAAGCTTTCATAAAAGCATGAGAATCCTTTTAGGTATACAACCCCATTCCACTCAACGTGTCATTGAGAGAGGATGAAGAAGGGGCTGTCCACACCAGTGATTCCATTCGTCTTCCTTTGATTAGCCAATCTGTGGTGTTCCTCTTTGCCAGGTCTGCATGGGGCTGAGTAAGGGTGAGATTAATGAAGCTCTGAAGGGCTCCCCTTTACTCTGCTGATCAAAGTTGGTATATGTCCCACACTATCAATTTTCAAGGCATTGGAACAATCCAATAAAACATGCTTACTTTTGAGCTCTCATAGGACAAAATACACGTTCTCACAACCAGAGAAGTGCCCAGGGATCTTATGATTCCCCAGGTTAGCCTGCAAACATCAGACTTCCTAGAATCACAGGCCCCCATGAAGGGTGTAAATGAGGATGAAGGAAGGGAATATACTTCTCATGAGAGTACTGGCTGATGGGGTAGGGAGTGTTTGAGCAAATTTAAGGGGCTATCTAGGTATTTTCTTTTCAAATCTAAAATGTCCTCAATGTATTTTGAGTCAGGCCATTTAGCAACTGAATTCTACATCCAGCATGCAACATGTTCAAAGGACACTCAGATAAGCCCAGTGAGAGGTCCCAGTTACGCAGACACTTAGATATGAACTCAATACACCATTTAAAACTTAGTTGTATATCTCATTAAGCTGAAAAAATAAACAAGGTCATTAGAAACTGGGGGGGGGGGACGTTTTGGGGGAAACTCTATTATTCAATGCTCTTCTGCAAAAGTGAGAAGAGGTTAAATAAATAGATGAAAGTATAAAAACAATAACTCTCAATCAGTTTTGTCATACGAACTTACAAGGGAATTGGCCTGGTCCATTTCTCACAACACCACTGCATAGCACACTGGTATCTGAGTACCCAGGAAATGTCACAGTTGGCACCCTGTATGGGCTGACAATTTGTGTCCCCCAAAATTCCTATGTCGAAGCCTTAATCCCCAGTGTGATTGTCTTTGAAGACAGGGCCTCCAAGGAACTAATTAAGATTAAATGAGGCCAGAAGGGTGGAGTCCTGGTCTGATAGGATTAGTGTCCTTGTAAGAGGAGACACCAGAGAGTGAGTGCACTCCCCCTGCCTCCAGGTATAAGCACCAAAGAAAAAGCATATGAGGACATGGTGAGAAGGCAGTCACCTGCAAGCCAGGAAGAGAGCTCTCACCAGTAACCCAATGGGCCAGAGCCTTGATCTTGGACTTCTAGCCTCTAAAGCTTTGAGAAAATTAATTTCTATTGTTTAAGCCACCCAATGTATGACATTTGTTATGGCATTCTGAGCTGACTAATACACACTCGTTTTGTGTATCATAGTCATAATGGCATCAAAGACCTGGATAAAGGAATATGCTCAATTACCAACCATGGCAATGGACACCTACTTTTCCATTTCCAAAAATAAACCTCAATTTCTTTATCTAGATGCTGGTTATGCAAATGTATTTATTGTGCATATTCTGTGCACCTTTTTTTAAATATAAGTTAACCTTATATAAAAGTTTAACATAAGACCTTAATATATAAGGTCTTCAACAAAACCTTAATAAAATCAAACTTAAAATTAAAATCTAAAGTATGAACATCTTTTATGGTCAATTATATTCATTTCTTCACATGTATAATTTACTAAAAAGCAAAGAAGATATAGAACTAACCCATAGCCTACTTTCCAGGAGCCGAGAGGGGACTCAAACCCCTGCTAAGCAAAATACAGAATAGCAGACTCTAATACCACCACGGAGATCTCCTGGGGGCCTCAACCACATGCTGTTTCTAGATTCCTTGCCAACCTTTAACCCCAGCCATCTCCATTTCCCCCTTGGAATATCAACTGGGCTAAAGGTTCAAGGAGCCTCCACTGGATCATGTATGAAACCTATGTGTCACTGAAACCTATGTGTCTATAACCAAGGGTATGTACACATACATAGCACACACATATTTATAAGTACATGGCTGAGCACCTACCAGTAGATCACAATGAAGCAAAATCCTGACTGCCCACTAGTGCTCTTACCTGTATCCAGCCATACATCAGCAAAATCATCAACTTGGCAGGTAAAGGAGAGAGGACAGAACCATCATTAAACACAAAACTGCTGCATGTTATCTATAAGTTATATACATACTCATAACACCTTCAGCCCCCTCTCCTCAGGACATTGTGTCTAAGCTCATAAAGAACGTCAAAGCTCATACAGAGTCCTGCTCTCAGGGAGTTCTGGGCCCAGCACCGAGGCCACCACTCAAATGGAAGAAGGATGACATGGCCAAGCCACTGTGGAAGCACAGGATAACAGAATCCAGGGCAGGCTGCCCCAGAGAGCAGGGGTAGGGAGGGAGAGAATAAAACCACCTACTTTTCCACTGCAACAGCAGCTTCTTCATAAAGTTCCTCTTGACAGTACATTTCAAGAGCTAGATCAAATTCCTGAATCTGCTCAAAGCATCTGAAAGCATCTCGGTAGCACTGGCTTCGCTTAAAGAAATAGGCGGCATCTTTTATCTAAAACAGAGAAAATATTTCCTCTTTGAGCATTCAGAACATCACTTTTTAAGTTAAAAATAAACCAAACACCCTAAATCATAAAGAGGATGGTCATATGCCTTGCTATTTGTTATAATCCAGTTAAAAACACTGAGACACAGGTAAAAAGAGGAAAACTAATTCTTAATAGGGAGAAAAATAAAGTTAGATCCCAACCTCACACCATACACTATACACCAACTGCAGATCCAGATGGTTTGTTAAAGCTCTAAATACAAAAGCTATTGGTATATTGGAAGAAGGTGTGAGACTAGCTCTTGTGACTTGAGAGGTAAAGAAAGTCTTCAACGAAACCTGAGACAAACATTTCAGGGGAGAAACGGAGGCTTTGAGTACATCAAAACTGTCCAACAATGGACACATGAAACACAGTTAACAGAGAAGACAAACATTAACATCTAGATCAGCACCATCCAATCAATCTTTCTGCGGAGATGGAAATGTCCCATATCTATGCTGTCCAACATGGCAGCCACTTGCCGTGTGTGGACAGTAAGCACATGAAATGTGGGTAGTGCAACTGAAGAACTGATTTCATTTAATGTTAATTAATTTTAAATGCCACTTGTGGCTAATGGCTACTAGACTAAGCAGGCCTAGAACATAAAATGGATTCCTGAAATCACCAAAAAAAAAAAAAAAAGAAGACGACGACTTTCCTGAAAACACAACAGAGGATTGGGCCAAGGATATCAACTGGACATCCACAGTGGGGGAAACTTAAATGACAAACAAATAAATGAAGATGCTCAGCCTCACTGATAATCAGAGAAATGCAAACTACAACCACAGTGAGATCCATCCACAAGGTTTGCAGAAACCAGAAAATCAGGACCCACTGAATGTGGTGAAGAATGTGGGACCATGGCACCGTCAGGCACAAGGTGCATGGCTGTCCTGGAAAGCTCTCACCTTCACTAGTGACATTAAGTAAGTTCACACCCCGGGGCCAGCAAGCCCGTTTCTAGCTCTGCACTTCCAGGGCTCACACAGAACTGGACGAGGCACGCTTCGCCACTGTGTGTAGCAGCCTCCAGCTGGTGGCAGCTTGGATGTCCGCCACTAGGGAAATGGGTAAAGAATGCAGGAGATGCCCGCTGTGGAATACTATCAGCGATCAGAAGCCTGGTCAGACACAACACTATAGCAGGAGGTAAAAAAAAAATTAAAAACAAAATAAGATGCTATTTAGATAAGCTTAAAATAGATATGCACAGAAAATACTATTTATTCTTCCACCAAACCTGCCTACGGGGACATCTAGTTAATGCACTGGGATGGCTGCTGTCAAGGAGAATAGGAATGGAGACTGGCTAGGAAGAGGAAGAAGATGAACACAATGAGTGTAACCTTGGACCACGTTCATTGGTGGGTTTGCCAGGAACAGAAGAGTACATTCCACTCCCTTTCCTCTCATACTTCCCACCCAGACCACCGGTTAATCCTGTCTGCTTGGCTCTCCCAGCGTTTCCCAGATATGAGCCGTTCCCCCTCCTCCACCACCATCATGACAATCCAAGCCACATATCCCAGCCTCAGCCACCACTAGACTCTCTTGACCTTTCTGCTTCTCCTCTTGCTGCCCACAGACCTCTTGACAGAACAGCCAAATAATTAGCTTCACATCAGTCCTCCAATCCAAACCTTCCAGTGGCTACCCCACCACACTTGAACGAAGTCCAGTCCCCTGCCATGGACCCTGAGGCCTGACATGATTTGTTCCTGCCCCCTCTCTTGCTCATTTTACCATGTCTACCCAGCTCACTCTGCTCCTGCCAAATGGCATCCTTGCTGTTCTTCAAACTCGCCCACATGGTCCCACCTGCAGCCTTTTGTCTGAGAGATCTGCAACCTGCTGTGCCCCCCAGCAACTGTTCTCACTGTCTCAGCTCAAAAGTCAGCTCCCAATGCCCCCTGTCTAGAACAGCAACACCTACCACCCTCTCTCCTCTCCCCTAGCCCTCAGCCCCGCTGGCATCCTATATACCGCTGCTTATCTATCATCTCTCACCAGACAGGGAAGCTCTGCAGAGGGAAAGCAGAGCCCCTGCTCTGTCGCCTGCTGCCTGCTGAGCACCCACGGAGCCTGGCACAGAGCAGGGGTCAATAGACTTGTTAAATATTTAACCTCACAGCTCTACCTGCTGCACCTGAAGTCCAAAGAGAAAAACAAAACAAAATACATATGCCAGGTCCTCTAATAAATCCCAGCGGGCTCTTATTTAACAAGACACACTCCCCAGAGAGCCAAAATAGACACAAGCTTCAGGTGAGAGGTTCTTCTGTGTCCAGAGACCTCACAGACTGGGCAGCTCTTAGATCCATCTTGCCACATCAATAAAACCCCAAATTAGTGCATCTAAACACACTGTCTTTGTTCCTCTCCTTGACAATGTTCATTACTCAGGAAACAATGCCCTGAGTGTGAGTGAAGGCCCTCTTAGGTGCTAAGTGTGCACCCAGTTGGAGAAGCGGGGGTGGTTCTAAAAGCCAGCCCCCAACTGGGCCAGCTCTGCTCCATGAGGAGGTCCCTACCGCCATCCAGAGCAAAGGCTTTGAATGGTTTCCAGGGAAACCAATATTACCCTCAGAGAGACGCATGAAGCGGGCACGCAGAGGAATCCCTGCAAGGAAATCTTCCACTCCCACAGCCCCCTCACAAGCATGTCTTCCCAGGGGCAGCACACACGTGGGGGCTGGGAGCAGGGAGGTGATCTGGCTTAAGGATTGTCACAAAGGCTGCTAGCAAGCTGGTCATTTTGAGACAGGCTGGTTGTTTGGTGGGATGACTCCAAGAAGCCTGAAGCTGGCTGAGGGTAGAATCCCCTTCCAGGGAGGGGCCTAAGCAAAAAAGAAAAGGGGGGGTGGATAGACCAGACTCTGCCCTGGTTGGGGCTGGGAGCTACTAGAATGTACTGGTCAAGCCTGCAGAAGTGGAAGGAAAGAGGGAGGGCTCTGCCTTTAGGAGCACGTGGCCTCCACATTCTGAAATCCTAGAGAAGGGAACGAGGGCTGTGCTTATGGCTGCCTGGGCCGCCCACCCCACCCCACTTTCAGAGGCAGAGCTGGGCATGCTGGGGAAGGCAAGGTGAACAGATGAGGAGCAGGTCTCTGGCTCAGTCATGATGGGCACTGGTAGGCAGAAAGCGGAAAGTAATAGGCTTAGGCCTGTAGTTGCCACTGCTCGGGGTCCCAGGTGGTGGCATTAGAGATTGGAGGGCGTGGGACTAAGGAACATGGAGAGACTGGAAACTATTCTAGTTCCTAGAATCCAGGACCCACACTGAAATCCCTATTCCATCCCCATCTCCCACATCCTAAGAAGTCACATCCCATAACAAACATGAGGCAGGGCAGGCAGACTTCAAACTTCCCAACAGCTCCCCCTGCCCCACTCTGTGCCCATGGTGCTCTGAGGATCTAGGAGCCACTACATTCCATGCCACCTCCCTACTGGAGGGTCATAAAGGCCCTCAGGGCCAATGCACCAGCAGCAGCTGGACACCATAGAGCACAGCTTCACAGACTGCCCAAGCTGAAAGACCAGATGTCTCTCTACGTCCAACCCACCTCACCCAATACACTGAAATGTATCACGTGACCTCCAGCACAGTGACTATAATTAATGAAGCTGCCTTGTATATTTGAAAGTTGTAAGAGAGTAAATCCTAAAAGTTCTCATCACAAGAAATTATAACTATGGTGATGATATTAAACTTAAGGTGGTGACCATCTGACAATATATACATATATTAAATGACAATGCTGTATACCTAAAACTGATACAATGTTCCATCCAATTATAACTCAATCAAAAAATGATCACTGCCCAGGCGGTGTGGCTCAGTGGTGTAGCATTGACCCATGAACCAAGAGGTCACCAGTTTGATTCCCGGTCAGGGCACATGCCCAGGTTGTGGGCCTGATCCCTGGTGTGGGCATGCAGGAGGCCACCAATCGATGTTATCTCTCATCGATGCTTCTCTCTCTCTCTCCCTCTCTCTTCCTCTCTCTCTAAAAAAAGAAAAATGATCACTAAGAAAGCTATCACCACTAGGGTGTCATCGCAATGCTAAATTGCCATAAAAATGCCTAACTGCTTACTTTCATCTTCTGTGTTCATCTGGCTGCGGACAAGTAATCATGCGTGGCCCTCAGCCAGCCTGCTGACCACCCTGTGAGTCACTGTGCTCCAGGCTAGCAGCTCTGTCCAACTGAGCTTTCCGCGATGATGGAAATGTTCTATCACAATGAGCACTTGAAATGTGGCCAGTGAGACTCAGGAAATGAATTTTTCATTTTCTCACATTTTAATTAACTTAAGTTTTAAATTAAATCGCCACATGTGGCCAGTGGCTGCCAGAATGGTCGGTGCAGATCTAGAGCAATCACAGGGAACGAAGAAAAACCCAGGCAAATGTCAAGCCATTCACCCAGGAGGACCCCAGACTGTGAATACAGAGAAAGAGAAGGCAGGAATATTCAAAAGCCCATCTTGTCTTTGATTGGAACATATGGCCTCCTTGTGGTTAATATCAGGTCTCAATATTCCCACAGATGTGCGCGCGTACACACACACACACACACACACACACAACGTGTCCTTGAAGCCATCCAAACACTTGTGCAAGTGCAGAAAGAAGGACTACCTAGAGTCGACAGCACGAACCTCGCCCTCTTTGGAGGACTGAAGCCCCTTCCTGAAGTAAGCAGAGGCAGCCCCCCCCCCCGCCCCACCTCAATCTGCCCAGGGGGAGCCCAGTTCTCCCAGGAGCAGCCGCAGCCAGGCTATACCTTCCCCAGCCTCTCGCACAGCCGAGCAGAGAGCTGGAACTCCTTGGCGTAGCTCAGACACTTAAGGGACAGCTTTGGCTCTTTGCATTCCAGATAGGTCTTAGCCAGTTCCAAGTACTCCACCTGCTTTTCCCTGGGAGGGGAGGAACAAAACAGAGTTTCCATGGGATGTTAACCTAACACCAATATCTTTACCTGCTGATCTCATCAGAGCAAACCTGAAATGACCTGAGACTCTTACTTGGGGCTGAGTTTCTTGGATTTCATGTTCAGGGCGGTGTTATGAGCGAGTGCTAGTTTCTCCTTCTCAAATGCACCTCCTTTTTGGTAACATTTGGCTGCAACCTGGAAAAGACCAAAGGTATGGATTCCCTACAAGGTAATGGAGGTGACAAACAGAACCAGAGTCAGCCTGCGCTGAGTCTCAACCCAGCCCAATCTGAGGGAGGAGCAAGAAGGTGCTGGTGAGGTAAAGAAAACAACCTCCAAGGATAAAGCCCAACACTCTTGCCAGCAAACACTTCACACTCAAAGATTCCTTCTGGAAGTACCCAGAAGCCATGGGAAGAGCACAAAATATATATTTTTACAAGCCACCATAATAACACCCTCAGTTAACCTTCCAACAGCCATGCATGAGAAGTTACATCTTTCTCTTGTATGTAGCAGCAACTTTAGGTAAGAGACACAGAAAGATTGGCCAAAAGGTAACCAGGAGCTTTTCTGGGCTCAAAACAGGTTCTCTCCAGTTGGCACCTATAATGGCTAACTGGTGGTGTTGGTGGAATAGCCTCAGTGCACCTACAGGGGGTAGAAATGGGGCTAGAGATATCCCAGAAGATAAATGACCAGATCCTTGGGACATGGAGATCTGTGTAGACCTAACAGAAGGTGGGCAGACAAGTGTCACAGGGGAGTCAGCCTGCACCCTGATCCCTGCCAGCAGAAAGCTGCTTTTCTCAAACAGGAATGCTGACACCATGTCTCCAAACACAGCCCACAGGGGCAGAAAGTTCACATTCTGTCCAACCTGCAGACACTGGGTCTCAGTGTGGGCAAGGGATGGGTTAAGTGGCACTTGCTGATCAAATGGACAGGATTGCATCTCTTCCCCTCAGGCACTTCTGCAGACTCCCAGCCACACAGGCCTCCTTTCATTCCCCTTCCCACCACAGGGCCTTTGCACATACTCTTCCTCTAATTGAAATGTTCTCTCCCTTCTCTGTCTGGTTAACTTCATCCCATAGGCATCAGCTCAACACTACCTTACTTAAAGTAGAGGTCCCTGTCCAGCACAGGTGGTTCTGGGGGCAACTGGTCTCTCATCTACGACACCTGCAACAGCTGGGACTGTTCTGTGTGCCTGCCTTCCTCATCATCATATCCCCACAACCTGAACACAATGTTGGCCCCTAGCTTAACAGGAATCTGTTGAATGAATTAATGAATCTCAAGTGCTTTCCAATTGTATAGTGGCTCGGAAACATTCACTGGCATGCAGCCAAAAGCTCAATAAACCACCTGAGTTCTGAAGTCCTTTAGTGGAGTATAAATAAAGTCAGGCAAGGAGAAGGCTTTTTATAACATTCTCATTTGTGCTAGCTCCCCTAAAAAGACTTTAGATTAACATTCAATAGGCATTTTTAAAGAGCTAAAGAATTGGAAATTATGGGCAATGCGTATGGGTGATACCAACAGTGTTCTGAAAGAATGAAGGGATGTGATCTAGTTTTCCAGTTCGTACCCATACCTCTTGCCCATATCACCTCTCCCTTTTCTCCCTACCCCCTCTCCAAAAAAACAAAAAAAAATTATTGATTGTATAACAATAGCCAAGTGTTTGATATTTCTTTGCAGTTATAACAAGGACGAGCAGTGAATAAAGTTCTGGGGCTGTATCAACTTCTGGGGCTGTATCAACTTCTGCAGCTAAATGGTACATTTACAGAAACTTTCCAGACACACCCAATAATGAGAATTCTGCTTTCTCACCCTCAGGATTGATTCAAGGGTGGCCACGGTCCTCCATTCCTCCATGTGTCTGCCCTCACCCCTTTACCAAACAACCCAGCACCTCCTCCCATCAAAAAGGCTGCCCATTTCCCCCGCTTCAGATCTGAGCTGTGACTGGCTTGGCCAGCAGGGGAAGCAACACTGGGCGAGCCCAGGCCTCAAGAGGACTGTGTGCTTCTGCTACCCTCCCTGAATCCTGCTCAGGCATCATGTGAACAAGCCCAGGTTAGCCTGCGAGGGGCTAAAGGGCATGGGATCCACTCACCTCCATCCCCAGAGCCAAAAGCCAGCCAAGCCTCAGAAGCAACCTGCTTGCCAGCTGGCAGCTGAGCTCAGACTCGGGAGGGCCCAGCAGAGACCGGAACTGCTCAGCTGGGTCCAGCTTTGCCAACCCACAGAACCAGGAGTGCAGGAGTGACTTGTTTTAAGCCATACATTTTGGGGTTGTTTGTTATGCAGGTGAACCTCAGATATGACTTACTTGCTGTAGACTTACAATCACTTTCCCTGCCGCAGGAGACAAAATGCTCCTAAGAATTGGGGAAAAGAAAACTCTTGGGAGTCCTTCTCCAGGCAGGTCAGATGGAAGACACCACCAACAGTGACTTCCAGAAAGTTCTGACGTTCATTTTCATCGCACTCATCCCTCCTAGCACCTCCACTCAGGTCCAACGCTAAAAATTCCAAGGAGAAGGGTCATGAAAGCAGCAGGACAAGGTCTTCAGGGAAATTTCTGTCTCAAAACGTTTCTTCAGGCGCTTTTCTGGGAACGTGAGCATGGACACATGGGGAAGAAAAATAGCGCCCTGCCCACAACTCCGCTCCGGATGTTCCCTGGGCAGCACGGCTGAGCCCGCAAGCACGAGACACTTGGGGGCTCGGGGAGTCAAATCTGAGGGCAATGTGCATTTCTGTGTGGTCATGCCTGCCATGGCTGACAATGTCAGTCAGTTACCCACACCTACTCCTCCCCTTCTTGCCTGTTAGTAGAACCTGCCTCCCATAAAAGGCTGTAACTGCCAGATGGGCTTGCTCTCCCAGACTCCCTTACAGCCAGGCATGTGACCCAGTAGTGACCAATGAGATATAAGGAGAAGTCCACGGGGGACATCTTGATAAAAAAAAGAGACCCATGAGAAGAAAGTGCCTGCCCTTCCTTCCTGCGTGGGATGCTACTGAGGGAAATGAGATGGTTGGCACTGCCACAGTCATCATGCAACCATGAGGGGGACGTCTCTGACCAGCTGCAGGTGACCCAAGGAGGAGATGGGAAGAGAAGGGGCCCATATTGACTTGGTTGAGCTGAAGGTGTTTGTGACCTGCAGGTGAAGACGTCAGTAACGCCACATCACAGCAGACACACGTGCCACAGTGTCCCACCCGAGACCACAGGATCTGGAGAGATGCTGACTGTGGGGAAAGAGGTGGGGCTCTTTTAGCTACATCACAGTCCAGTGATGGCATTTCTCGGAAGAAACTGCTCAAGCTCACGAAGATGGCTTGTGGCTGGAAATGAGTCAGCTCGGTCTAGTGAAAAAGCTCAACTATGCCTACCAGACTCAAACAAGCTGTGAAGTCTGTCTGGTCAATTTTACAAAAAAACCAAGAGGATGAATCTGTTACTATTTTAAAATGTCTCATGAGCCCTGGCCATTTGGCTCAGCGGTTAGAGCATAGATCCACAGACCAGAGAGACCTGGGTTCGGTTCCCGCGAAGGGCACGTACCTCAGTTGCAGTTTGTCCCCAGCCCCAGTTGGGGTCGTGTGGTGGTGACTACACAATGTGTCTCTCTCACATCGATGTTTTTCTCCCTCTTCCCTCCCCCCCACTCTATCTGAAGATAAATGCAAAAATGTCCTCAGGTGAGGATAAAAAAAATGTCTTATGATTGCAGCAAACACTTTTAAGCATAGAACATGGATGGAAAGTAAATAACTGGAAGTGTCCCTCGGTAGGGCAAAAACCCTCAGTTTTGGTACCAGCACTTGCTGGCATTGGCCACAATGAAGGGCTGTTGTGGTTGCATTAGGGAAGGAGCAGGACGGGGCCTCTCCTCATCAAGGGGTGAGCCGATGTTGCAGGAAGTGGCACAAGCACCAGCACCCGCGCCGTCCTGGCAGAGGTACGATGGTGGGAAGCCGCCTGTGAGGCCTGATGAGGACGCCGGGCATCAAGACCGCCGCCGGCGCCCGGCCCAGCCCCTTACCTTCCAGCACTGGTGTTTAGCATAGTACTCCCCTTGTGCGATCCATTCCTCGGGGGTTGAGGTCTTAACAAACATGCTATCATCAAAGTCTAAAATGAAAAAGAAAAGTGAATTTGCTTTATTCACTTAAACCTATTGTTATGAGATAAATTTTGTCCCCCCTCCTCACCCTCTGAAAATTTAAATGGGACTGTATTTAGAAATCAGGCCTAAATGAGGCTATTCTGTGGGCCCTGATCCAATCTGACAGGCGTCCTTATTAGAAAAGGAGATTAACATACACCAAGAGAGACACCAGGTGCTCGCACAGAGGAAAGACCATCTGGAAGTCAAGGAGAAGCCTAAGAAGCCAAACCTGCTGGCAACTTGATCTTGGACTTGTAGCCTTCAGCACTGCAAGAAAATAAATGTCTATTGTGTAAGCCACCTAGTCTGTGGTGGTCTGCTTTGGTGCCCCAGCAAACAAATACACCTGTGGTTGTCTTTCTAGCATTCCTTAAAAGATATACTACAGCTTCTCAGGTCAGGTTGTTGTGGGTTTGGGGAGCGTATGGGGGTGAGAAAGGATGCTGTTTGGTTTTTGAACTTGGCTCTACCTTCCCTTTCCAGGGCTATGAATCAGAAGACAAGTAGCATTTCTAATTCCTCCCTGAAAATCCAAAGCCTTGTAGCTCTTAGCAAACTCAGATGTTGGGGCCTTAGCAAGGGACAAGGTGACAGAATGACAGTGTTTTCAAATGTGCAGACTTTGACCTCCTCATAGTGAGCCATCCGACAATCCCGCTGGTAGACACAGACTAGTATAAGCTCCTGCTGTCAGACCCACCTGTTATCCTCACTAGCCTACGGGGACTGTGTCAGCTCCCCCTCCCTCCACTTCTGAGCATCGCCAGCAGTGGGCAGCACTCTCTGTGGGTCGAGCCACAGCTCCATCGAGCACATGAGTGACAGTGACTATCAGGACAACACAGACAGCCAAATCTGAGACACCCAGGACAATGGATGTTAGCCAGAGCCAGGGAGCAAGGCAGACATGCCCTGCCAACTTTGGTTCGAAGGTGCAAAAACACACGTTAAGCCTTGCAGCCTGACTCCTCCCTGTGGGCCCTCTGCCATGCCCTACAGCACTGTGTGCAAAGATGACTTCATAGCATCTTGTTCTGACTCCATGTGCACAATCAGTGCCCTGGTGACACTGTATCCCCATGGCAAAGCCTGCAGAGGGTCAGTGATCTCAGCCAGCACCACACTGAAGAAACCCACATTGCAGTCACTATACTCATCCCCAGCTCCCTTGCACAGTGGGGACAGATATTCTCAAAGATACCATGTGCAACTTATAACACAATTAAGACTGTATTTTTGTTGTATTCTTAATGCTACCAAGACAAAACAAACTATAATCCTTTTTCATTTTGAATTTTTAAATTTATAAAATGCCTATCTTGATGGTCTCATAATGGGTGGCTGAACAGGTTTTGAGGATAAAAGGTGTGCAAGAAAGGTCAAGCATGGCCACAGCAGAGCAACCCACCTGCTTTCCTTTCAGTTGAGGAAGTGGAGGCTCAAGTTGAGAAAGTGGGGCCTGAACGAGGTCATGTGGCTACACAGGTGGAGAATTCTAATATGATGCTAGGTTAACCCCAAGCCTTCAACTTTTCCCACAGCACCACAAAAGTCAGGGCCCAGGAACAGAACATCTAATCCTGGTTCCCAATCGAGCCATTGGCTATAACCAGAAAGCCTTCATAAAACTGGCTGAAAGATGCTCGGGAAGCCAGCGAACACCTCTGTGCGGCAGCTGGGCCCTGTGCTTGCCCCTGTCCTTGGAGAAATCAACCAAGACCTGGAAGTTAATTAACCAAGTCTTAATTAACCAAGACTAATCCACAAGAAAAAGTCACAGTTACCTCCTTCATGCAGGGCTGATTATTTCTCCCCGAGTTATCCTATCAGGAGAACTTCACTCCATTTTTTAATTACCTAGTTTTTGTAAATTATGAAAATAATGCATAAAAATTAAAATTAAATAAAAAAACTGAAAACATCACGGAAGGGTATAGAGGCGAAGAGGAAAAGGTACCCACATCTCCACACCCGCCAGTCCTACTTGGCAGCAGAGGAGCAGCTAGGAACAGTTTCACTGGGGGACATGTGGGTCACGTTTAGTTTCTTATCATTACAAACAGGGCTGTGATGAACACTCTTGTTCATGAAACTTTGAGATTTATACAAGAATATCTCTAGAATCCTAGAGTGGAATTCTTGGGTCAAAGGTATGCTCATTCTTTAACTGATACTGCCAGTCAGCTACCCAAAACCCATAGCCATGTGTGTTCTCCCAAGAGAGCCCATCTCCTCTAACCCTTGACCATGACCCTCTCTATTAAAGGACAAATAAAAGATCTTCCCTAAAGGAGCTAATCTCTTAATCCCATTACAGCCCTACTGTCCAGTCCAGCACACCTTATCAATAAATATGAACTCATTTCTCAGAAGAATAGGAAGATATTTCAAAACCTATACCATCTATACCCGACCACAAGAACAGTGGGGAATGACACACTTTCTATCCCACAGCCAGAATATTTTCATGAGTTCTCACCTTTATTTTCATCCATCTTCACAACTTTGACAAAATTTCTCCGAATGAAATATCCAAAGGCAGGAGCCCGCTTCTCCAGGTTTTCGTCGAAGATCCAGAGGTTAGCACGAGCCCGGGTGATGGCAGTGTAAAGCTGCTTCAGCTCTCCATTGAGGAGCTAGAGGCAAGATTGAGGACAAAAACGATGACCCTTTTGTCGAGAGCTACAGGGTGACACACATCCGTGGCTTACTCTGATTTTGGAGAAATGGGGGAAGTAAATTATTGAGAAGTCCAGCACAGGCCATGATGACACGAGGAGCTCCCTGTGGCCTCCGCACAGATAAGCAAAGCTCTAGCATGCAGTACACTTCAGGACCACCCTGGAATTTGCAGCAAATTTATCTTTCGAAATAATGATAGATTCATAGGAAGTTACAAAGATAGTCCAGAGAGCTCCCATGTACCTTCTGCTCCATTCACCCCAGTGGTTATATCTTACACAGTTACTGTGACTTATTTTTTAAAATTAAACCAGTCCTACACTTCTTTTATAACTATCACTAATACTAAATGACTCACTACCTACCCTATGACTGAGTTCTGTGGATACAAGTGATTATGACGTGGACACAGGGATGGCCTACTCAATTCAATAATGCACATTTCAAGACAATAGCGGATTTGCGGCTACCTAAAAGTCCACAAAGTTTGGCAGTAACTTCACTTCTATTTCCACAGAGCCTTCAAGGCATTTACAGAAACAACCTGATAACTGCTCCTGTGTTTCATACTTTGAGATATAAAACTAGAATAGTACTTTCTCCTAAAGTGTTTGGTTTTGCTGGTTCCATTTTCTGTGATGTCACCCTCACTTCCTTGAGTCAAGAACTCCATGGGACTTTCCAGCTTTGCCTCCTCCTCGGTGACATAGCTGGGACGTGAAGAACATGGAAAGTCAGGCCCTTAACAGTCACGGCTGCTATCCACTCACTACGGTCTGGGCCTACTTCCAAGATCCCATCAGCAACATCAAAATTTCTGAACAGAGCCCAGTTCCCAAGGGAAACAGAAGGTACAACCCACCCTCCTCCACTTTCAGATGATGCCCCCCCATCAAGCCCAGCTCCGCTAAGACCAGGGAGTCTGCTGGGATGGAGGTCCCTGCTGCTCCACTCCCCGGGGCTGATGTGCAGGAAGACAGGCCAAGTGCGAGCCTCCCGTCTTTCATCTCATCCTCTGGCCCAAACCTTGTTCACTGGCTCTCTGTCAAATAAGTGAGGGGACAAATGGCAGAAATCACCTTATACATTTCTGGATTCACCATGGAAGAGCGACCCTGAGAGGAGCTAGGTTTCTCCAGGGGCACGTCAATCAGGGGCCCATTATCTTCTCTGCAGTCCGATGATGAAGGTGTAAATGAGGAAATGATCTTCCATTCCTTGTAAGCCTGAACAACAATGACAAATTAAAGACCAACGGAATGTGCTTTTGAACTCTACACACAGACCCCCTGAGCCTCATAGAGAACTGAGCCCCTTTTCCCTAGCCTGGGGGCCAGGCCATCAGCCCCAGCCACGAGGAGGGGGCCATCCGATGGCCTTAGAGTGGTAGGGCGAGACTCAGGTTGCGCAGGCAGAGGTCGGGGGTGCTTCCAGAAAAACTCCCCGAGACTTCGTCAAGACAACTGAGAAGCCAGGCACATGTGCCCACTTCCAGAAGGAAGGCTGAGGGCCCAAGTTCTGCTTGTTGAAAAAATTCAAAAAGCAGCATGGAAAAAAGAAACCCAGTGTCCACACCACTGTTCATTACATGTTAAGAGATGCCATTACGGTCAGCTGCTAAAATACATGAGGCAGAAGTATCTAACTGACCTATTCAATCAAAGATGGAAGAAAATTCCAGAGCTGCGCGGTACACTGTGCAAGGTAGATTCTGAGCTCAGACAGAACAAATTCATATCCCAGTTCTTTCACTTAATAGCTGTGGGGCCTTGGACAAATTATCTCTTCAAGGTCTCCTTTTTCTGCTCTATAAGATGAGGATGCTAGAATTGCTCAAGTTTGTTGGGAAAATAAATGATCATCAATGCCAAGTATCTAATGCTATGCCTGATAAAGAATTTGATATTTTAGCCAGTTTTCCCTTTTTATAAACTCAGGCCACACTGACTGTGTAAATCAGGGGTGGGGGCATGTTTTTTCTCTAAAGGATCAGATAATAAATATTTTTGGCTTTGTAGGCCATCTGGTCTCTCTTGCAACTACTCAGCTTGGCCACTGCAATGCAAAAGCAGCCAAGACCGATATGTAAATGAATGGGCATGGCACAGGTGTGTTCCAGTGAAACATGCTTTTCAAAACTAAAATTGAATTTAATGTAATTTTCATGTGCCATGAAATATTATTTTCCTTTTAATTTTTTTTAACCATTTTTAAATGTATAAACCATCTTAGCCCACAGGCCATACAAAAATAGTCAGTGGCCCTGGCCAGTTTGGCTCAGCGGTTAGAGCGTCGGCCTGCGGTCTGGAGACACCCGGGTTCGGTTCCCGCTAAGGGCACGTACTTCGGTTGCAGTTTGTCTCCGGCCCTGGTTGGCAGTTAGGGTGGCAGCCACTCGATGTGTCCCTTCACGTCGATGTTTCTCTCTCTCTCTCCCTTCCTCTCTCTCCCACCCACTCTATCTGTACAAAAAATGGAAAAATATCCTCGGGTGAGGATAAAAAAATAAAAATAAAAAAAAAGTCAGTGGACTGGATTTGGGCCTCAAGGCCATGTCGTAGACCTGGTGAAGCTCAAGTGCCCAGATCAATGCAGAATTTAGAGTCCAGAATTCCTATAAAAGTCTAAATTTCATAACTTGACTGTGCCTTGTGGGAGTAGCTTGTTAACTCTCCTAGACATGACTTGTCATCTGTGTATCTTTTCAAGGAGGACAAAAAAATGGAGTGGATACTGTTCATTACCTCCTATGAGTTACTCTATAAATTAAACTATATAAATATTAGGTTTAAAGGCTTACAACACTACCTATTACATAAGAATGGTTATGCCAGTAACCAATTATGGACTCAATCACCAGGTTCTGAAAAGAGATGTGAATCGTTACATCATTTACATAGCTGGAAGTTAAACAGCCTCAGGACATATTACGGCTATCCTATTGGTAAAACTGTTTACACACCGAATTGTTTGCCAAGGAAAGCAGGCAAAACACAAGTGCTTGACATGTGAGAGGACCTCGTAGCAAACCGCAGAGGTGCAGACTGGCTGGCCTTGGAGGGCTAGTGAGGCAGAGTGTATTTTAGGACTGCTGAATGAGAAGAACGGTGGCTCTTATGGCACATGACTATCTGTTTCCATGAATAAAACACATCTGACTTTCAAGACAAAGCCTTGTCGGAGTGAGTACATGTATTTGTGCAAAAGACACAAACAAGAATACAGGCCTGCGGCACTTCTGGCAATAAAAGAAGAAGCATTTAAATCTTCTGGCTTCTTCTATTGAAATTAATCATTAGGAAGGAATAAGGCTTAGTTTCTACAAGCCTACCATTGTAGGGCCTGCTCTCTAGGTTAGTTGAGCAACCCACAGAAGTTGTGGTTTTCAAAGTCTTTACTGTCCTATTTGCACCTGAGTGTGAAGGAAAGGCTCCCCACTGGGGCAGACTGTAAATGCCAAGTGCCCTTCCAAAGCCCCAGAGGAGGAGAGTTTGGGGGTGACTGGGAAAATGACTGCTCCTCCCCAAAACGAGGCAAACTCCTACAAGAGAAGGACTTGGTGTAACATTCGCTGGTTCTTTCCCCAGCTCAGAAGAGGGCCCTGGTGAACTGTGGCTGACCAGGTACGAGTAAATCCTCTAGAGAGAAGAATCACAAACCAGGGCAATAAGAATCCCCCCTTACACATGCATGCACACATGCACACTCACCCAAGTGGCAGATTCTGCAAAGGGAGTGCCTGCTAGAAACATAAAAGCAGGGCAGGGGGTGGAAGAAGCCAGGTATGGAGAGGAATGCTCCACAGTTCCCCCATCTCAAATGGCAATTAATATTCAACAGCCCTCTGCCAATCACCCCAAAAGAACCCACTTGAGCAGTCAGCCCACAGGCAACTGGGGACTTATGTGATCCCTGTCTTTCCTCTGCTTTGATTAAAGCATTTCCTCTCATGTGCTGAATGACATTTTTGGGTCTTAGAGTTGTCAATGATAGACTGAGGGTATACTTTGTACCAGGGATGCATAATTATATTGCCTGGTACCCAGGGAAGCACCATTTCAGAGGTCTTTCTATAAGTTTTGTTGTGTATATAGGAGGAAGTGGACGATACCAAGATTCCATTTGTGATTGTTTTATTTTCATGTAACTCACAAGCCATTGGTGGGAGCATAGGGTCAAGATATCTGGGCCTTTCCCATTTCCAGGATCAAGATGAGACAATCACTGGATTTTTCCTTCACAAACAGCGGTACCACAAGTTACACATCCATAAGTCCAGAGCTCCTTGAGCTTCTTATTGGCACAAGCATACAACTGGCACTTAATAAAGGACAGGAACAACAAAGTCTTACCCCTTCCTCTTTAGGAGAGCCTCGGTCCAACCATGACCAATGGATGTATTATGAGAAAAAAAAGTTAGTCCTCAGAGATTAAAAATGGTTCCAGGGTTAATGAAAGTGCATCTGATTTTATCAGCAAAAGTCAATAGAAAAGGAATGTACTTAAGGAATGGCAGTGACATACATATTGTGGAAGGTTCTGGAAGCTGATGCATGCAGGGCTTTGAAAAGAAGGGAGTACAGTGGAATTCAGAACTCAAAGCATTTGAGTTCATTTCTAAGCTCTGCCGCCTTATCACCATAGGCCACGGATGTAATTTCCATGACCTTCAGCCTTATCTACAGAATGAGGGTAATAAAATTACATACAACCTCAGAGCACTGGCGGAGAATAAAGTGAGACAACACTTCAAAGGTGTTTCGCAAACTGTAAAGCACCCATAGCAATATTAGTCATAGGTATTATCAAGTAAAAGATGACTTTTTTTTTTTTTCAAAGATCACAAAAAATAAAATAAAACCCCATGTAAAGGGTCAGTTCTGGGATAGATTTTAAGGTGTCAGAGCTAACGGTGGTCTGACTTGGCTATGGAAACAGACCTTCAAGCATGCACCATGTGCAGAGGAAGTCTGCAACAGGGACCAGGGCCCTGCCAGCTAAGTCCCCAAAGGAGACCCCACAGCACATTCAGCAGCCAGCCTGAGTCCCCACCAAAGACAATGGTGAAGAGAAATCAGTGGCTAGAAAACTGAGGACAATGATCTTGAGTTAGTGGCTCTACCCATAATGCACTGAGTTTGGGGAGAAAGACCATCAAGTCAAAGCAATGAGTTGGCACAGAGGTCACTGGGGGTCAGTCTGGGGACATTGTTGCTGCCATTGTCTGCATGGGCGGCAAGCAGTGGTGGTGAAGCCATGCCAGAAGGCAGCTCCCAGGCAGGGCGGCTGTTCTCGTCCCCCGCATTACCTGATCCAGTGGGCAGGAACCAAGCCTCATTTGTCTTCCCGGAGTTTTCTCTTTCTAAAGACTGACCTTGCCCAGTTCTGTCCTCAGTGGGTGGACACTGCTAACCTTGCCTTCATTTGTAAGGCTCTCCTTAGAGCTCACTCCAACTTGAGCATCCTTGGGAGTCAAGCATAACAGTAGCTAGTGAAAACCAGAAGCTGGCACTTGGGTACCAGGCATTTAGAAGGTGAAAACAAGAGAACAGGGAAGGGCAGGGCACGGGGAGAACCAGCCCATGGCACACTGTGAAACAACCCACAGCCATTGTCAAAACCCACATCAAACACTCCAAGCCCCACAATGAATGGGTGATGCTCCAAAACAGAAACAGGCACCTGTGACAAACTCTCTCCTACTCAGCTCCCAATTCTCTTTCACGGAGAGGCCGTGTAACTTGGACACAGACATGCACTGTGTGAAAAGAAGCCAGTGTGACATACCTCAGAATCAGTAAAAAAGTTGTAAAGGAGCACATCATCAAATTCTAAGCCTTTTGCTTCATAAACAGTTAGCACAAGCGCTAACTCCAGCTCTTCTGGAATTTTCTCCTTTGCCATTTCATTGGCTACAAGGATGACCTAGAAAAAGAAAAAAGAGATGGGAGAAAAACAAAACAAAACATCAAATTCTGCAAGGAGAAATCTGCCGAAGTTCAGTCCATTTCTAGAGGAGGCAGGTAATATCATTAAAGAGATGTGGCCAGCATGGATTTGGTCAGCCAGGCTGGTGGAAATATTAATAACAATTAGTCACTCACCCATCTCTGAAACTTAACCATTCTGGGAGAAGGGCTATTGAATTCTACCTTGTAGAATAATTTAGCCTCTCAAACCCTTTTTCAATTGAACACTGCCTTTAATTTCAAAGCATACAATCCCAAGAAGCTCACCTGGTGGGCCCCAAATTCAATGGGCTGGGTTTTCCTCTTGTTCCCTTGCAGCAGAATTGCTAAGTCGCTTAAACTACAAGACTCCAGGACTGTTGGTTTGGGACCATCAAAGAGACCAGAGTCCCTTGGAAGGCGATCAAAAGATTCTGGGAAGTAGAATTGAAGTAAATCAACCACTCCCGATGCCAGATTGAGGATTCCTGGGATAAAACAGAAAACACGTGTCCAATATTGAACAGCATGACAATATGGCTGGGTTTTTTTTGCTTTTTGTGGTGTGTTTGTTTGTCTGTTTGTTTTTGGTATGTGCCCCTAGCAGGAACTGAACCCAGGACTCTCTAGTCTGCCGGTCGACACTCCAACTGCTGAGCCAAACTGACCAGGGCTTTTTGTGGTGTTTTTTGTTTGTTGTTTTTTCCTGAGAAGTATTACTAGCCCTGATAATACACATAATTGCAAGCCAATCTCCAGTTCTCATTAGATTACCACTTTGGCCCTGGGCCGCATTACTCCAGGTACAGTCGATGAAGGCAGAGATGAGTTACTGTGCTAAGGTTTTATGGGATCTCACTCCCGACCTATGTTCATATTAGAGAAAATTACCTCATAAAGAAGAGTCAAGGCAGAAATGTAATCTGAACAATTAGAGCTGTTAGAAGGCTAATATCAGGGGCTAGTATCGATAGTAAGGAAGCAAGACTCATCCTGCTCTCATTGGAGCTTAGAGCACTGGAGACAACGTTGTCATGGTAACAGCAGTGCTGGATGTTAGCTGGAGCAACAACGAAGGCCTCTGTCGCCCTTTTCCAGCAGGTTTATAGCTAGCTGGGAGAGGACTATACCAAGAAAAATCATCAGAGCCAGAGAAAAGATTTTCTAAAGAGCTTTCTCCCTGGGTCCCTTTTCTCTCCAAGCTCTGAAGTAACAGTGATGCTGACTGAATGCTACCGTACAACGGGCACTTGCACAGACACAGTTCCCCTTCACCCTCATGACGGCCCAGAGAAACAGACTAGGTAATCACACTGTAACAAACGGGACCTCCAAGGTCTGAGGAGTCAACATCTCCAGGTGACGGGGTCTGAAGCTGGACTGAACATAGATCGTCCCAGGTCTCTCAACTCTTCCTAGGTGCTGTGTGCCCTTTGCTAACAACATACAGAATAAGCACCATGTTCTTGGTAGAGGACCATAAAATGGGCTTCTGTGTCCCCAATGTTATCACCAAGTAGTAAAGGTAATTTTACTGTCTGATACTTAGTAAAAGAATACAATACAAAGAAATCATGAGCACAAGGGGAAACTGCTGAAAATCAGCTATTACAGCCCTGGCCGGTTTGGCTCAGCGGTTAGAGCATCGGCCTGCGGTCCTGAGAGACCCGGGTTCGGTTCCCGCTAAGGGCGCATACCTTGGATGCAGTTTGTCCCCGGCCCTGGTCGGTTGTGCGGGTGGCAGCCACTCGATGTGTTCCTTTCACATCGATGTTTCTCTCTCTCTCTCTGTTCCTCTCTCTCCCTCCCACTCTACCTGAACCAAAAAAAAAATGGAAAAATGTCCTCGGGTGAGGATAAAAAAAAAAAAAAAAAAATCAGCTATTACAGTGGTTCCCGCCCCATGAAGAGCCAGCAGGGGCCAGAGGTACACCAGTGGGAGAATCCGAAAAGGGTACGGAGGTTCACTGCAGGGAGAACTGGGGTCCACTTAAATGCCCTTCTAGGTAACTAGATCAATACTTTTTTTTTTTTTATCCTCACCCTAGGAATTTTTGCCTTTATCCTCAGATAGAGCGGGAAGAAGAGAGGGAGGAAGAGAGAGAGGGAAACATCGATGTGAGAGAGACACAGCGACTGGCTGCCACCCACACAACCCCAACCGGGGCCAGGGACAAACTACAACCGAGGCACATGCCCTTATCGGGAACCGAACCCGGGCCTCTCTGGTCCACAGGCTGACACTCTAACCACTGAGCAAAACTGGCCAGGGCTAGATCAATACTTTTTATATAAACATACTTAAAGAACAAGAGACGGTCTCGCCATAAGAAGGAATGAAGTGCTGGTCCATGCTATAGCCTGGACGAGCCTTGAAAGCATCACACTAAATGAAAGAAGTTAGGCACAAATGGCCGCAGTGTAGGATTCCATTAATACGAAGTGTCCAGAACAGCAGGCAAACCCAAAAAGACAGAAAATAAATTAATGTTCCCAGAGTGGGGGAGGGGAAAGAAAGACTGCTGACTGCTAATGGTTATGGGGTTCTCTTTGGGGTGATGAAAATGTTGTGGAATTAGAGAGTGGTATTGGTTGCACAACCTTGTGAATGTATTAAAAATCATTAAACTATACATTTTAAACAGGTGAATGTTATGCTATATGAATCTCAATTTAAAAAACAATAAAAGATGGGGGAAATATTCACTAAACATAGTCTATCTTCACAATTAATCAATAAATATAGGTGAGTGATAAACACATATAATATATAAAAAAGAAAAAGATCAGAAGGAAATGAAACAAAATGTTAGTAGTGAAGAACCTTATAGGCAGCTAGTAATATTCTTTTACATTTTATGTGTTTTCTAAAGTCTCTAAAATCTAGTAATACATATTATTTGGGCTTTTTCTGGTTCTGTACACAGAAATATATGCACATAGTCGTGTCCTCAATCTGAAAGACTAAGTAGAAAATGGGATTCGTGCAGTAATGGTCCGAGTAGGTTCCTTAGTATAAAATAAAGACTTGCTCTGCCACGCTCCAGGCTTCTGGCCCCAGTCCAGTGCTGCTGAACCAGGAACACACATCAGAATAAGGAGCTCATTGAACCGCTATGCCAGGTCCTCTCTGATGGATGCCACAACAGAAAGGGGAGCCACTCTCTGAGGACAAAGAAGCATGAACTGTGTGTCTGGTCACCCAGGCCCTACACAGTGCCAGGCAGGATAGAGCTCAATAAATGTATAAATGTTTCCTGAATGGCTGAGGGAAGGACAAGGGCTGATGTTTCCTACTAAGAACATAAAGTACCTTGTGCCAACTCTTCTGGACAACCAAGTCCAGGTCTAAGACCATGGAAGTGCAAGAAGTTGAGCTGCTCAGACCCAGCCAGATCCTGTGATTCACAGGCAGCATCAGTGAGGACTTGGAGAGCCCTGCAACGCCGGCTGAGTTGTGTGGTGTATGCTGCACTCTGGGAGGCCACCTGGCTTCTAATCATTTCCTGACTCCCTGGTTGAACAAATCAGAATGTTAATCTAATTTTACAATGTGTCTGTGCATATGAGTATGAGTTTGTATGTGTCTATATGTGTGGCTAAGTGCATGTGGTATGTATGTATTTGCTCTTTCCACCAAGCCAGAGACTACTTGAAATGCATCCAGAAAAAGAACATCTATCAAAAACCTACAATAAACATCACACTTAAAATGATGAAACAGCCCTGGCTGATATTGCTCAGCGGTTAGAGCGATGGCCTGCAGACCAGAGAGTCCGGGGTTCGGTTCCCACTAAGGGCACATACCTCGGTTGCAGTTTGTCCCTGGCCCCGGTTGGGGTTGTGTGGGTGGCAGCCAGTCGATGTGTCTCTCTCACATTGATGTTTCTCTCTCTCTTCCTCCCTCTCTCCCTCTTGCTCTATCTAAAGATGAATGCAAAGTATCCTCGGGTGAGGATAAAAAAATAAATTTTAAAAATAAGTAAATAAAAGAATATAACAGTAGAGATATTCCCATTAACTGCAGAAATAACACACACATGCCTGTTGTTGCTTCTACTTAAGGCCCTAACCAATGAAATAGGATAGGAAAGAGAAACAAGTATGTAAAAGAAGATAAAAACTGCCCTTATCGCCCTGGCCGGTTTAGCTCAGCGGTTAGAGCATCGGCCCACGGAGCAAAGAGTCGCAGGTTCGATTCTGGTCAAGGACATGTAGCTCGGTTGTGGTTAGGTCCCTGGCCCTGGTCAGGGTCGTGCAGGAGGCAGCCGGTCAATGTATCTCTCTCACATTGATGTTTCTTTCTTTCTGTTTCTGTTTCTCTCTCTCCTACCCCTTCCCACTCTACCTGAAGATAAATGGAAAAAAATATCCTTGGGTAAGAATTTAAAAACAAACAAACTGCATCCGGCCAGTGTGGCTCAGTGGTTGAGTGTTGACCCATGCACCAAGAAATCGCCGGTCCGATTCCCAGTCAGGACACATGCCCAGGTTGTGGGCCCAATCCCCAGTGCGGGACATGCAGGAGGTAGTCAACGAATGTTCTCTCTCATCGATGTTTCTATCTCTCTGTCCCTCTCACTTCCTCTCTCTCTATAATCAATAAAAGGAAAAAAAAAGACAGATATTTTAAAAAAACAAACTGCCCTTATCTACAGAAAAATGCTAAAATCTAAGTCAGAATGTTCAGCAAGATCATTAGATACTAGATCAAGAGACAAAGCTAACAGCATTCTCCTATATGGTTAATAACCGATTAGAAAAATGTACAAAAAGAAAAGGGCAGCCACGACAGTAACAAGAAGTACAAGGACGATCTAAGAGCTATGTAAAATGTCTGGAGGAAATTATAAAATATTACTGAAGGCAGTAAAAAAAGACCTGAACAGAGAAATGTGTCATGGCTCAGACGTCTCAAGGGATGTAAAAATGTGACTTCTTCCCAAAAAGCAAAGACATATGAAAAAAAGAGCCTTACGAGTCAGAGAGGATGGACTAAGGCGTAAAGGGCATCAGCTGATTACCCATATGGAAAAAAGTAAAATTAGACTATAGAAGCATTCTACAGTGCTAAGGTGGAGAACCCCTAAAATAACCTCGTAAATTCCAGTAAGATCCTTCATGTCAGGACCCTTGAAATGGTGTCAACAAATGGAAAATATTTATCAGCTATGGATAGCCAACTTTGAAACTTAATTCACTCCAGGACTGTATGTCACAGTAAAAAGCAGGAGGAACCTAACGTCCATCACTGGGAAATGGACAACAAATTGTGTTACAGTCACAAAATGGAATGCTAACAAGTTAGAAGCGCATGGCGTGCGGTTCCACATGACGGACACGCGGAAGTCCCAAAATGTAATGCTAAGCTGAAATATAAAGTTGCAAAAGGACATGCCTGGCATGATCCCATTAAATAAAATTTCTAGACAGGTAAAATAATACTGTATATCATTCACGGACACATTTGGGACACAGGAGGTGAATTTGTGAGCATTCTGTAAACCACAAAGTAGTATTGGTGTCATGTTATTTAAACCCTCTGTGCCTCACTTTCCTTCTCTGTAAAATGGGAATGATGCCTGCCTGATGGGTTGAAGATAAGGTGAGGATACCTATTAGATGAAAACTGACTGGCATTATGCCTGGCACAGAGCAACTGAGGTACAAGTTCAAAGCACCTGTGTATGTGTTATCTGTCACCACCTGCCACTCCTGTTTGTTGGCTTCTACTTAGTAGAAAAGCTACTTTAAGGACTGATAACTTGCCCTGGCCAGTTTGGCTCAGCGGTTAGAGCATCGGCCTGCGGTCTAGAGAGACCTGGGTTTGGTTCCTGTTAAGGGCATGTGCCTGGGTTACAGTTTGCCCCCGGCCCTGGTTGGGTCGTGCAGGTGGCAGCCACTTGGTGTGTCCCTTTCACGTCGATGTTTCTCTCTCTCTGTCTCTTCCTCTCTCTCCTTCCCACTCTATCTGAACAAAAAATGGAAAAATGTCCTCGGGTGAGGATAAAAAAAAAGGACTGATAACTTGAACTTGTGCATTACTTTACATTGTATAAGCAGGTGTTCCAAAGTGCTCTGAAACAAGTTCTCAGCAGTTTAAATGTTCCTCTGAAAAGTTTTCAGGTCATGGCACACTTCCTAAGATGTAATTACTTAACAGTCCATTTCCACTCAACCACAGCTTGCTTACCAACCTAAGGATGAGTGGTAGCAGAAATCATAAGACCTCTTATTGGTGAGTTCCCAAGCCCTGGACATACCTGAATGGGACCTGTAGTTCTGATAAAGCTGGTGGATCTTCTTGGGCTTCCGGACAGCACACTTCTTGTCCACAGCGCTTCTGCTGGCGTAGTGGAACAGAGAGCGCAGATCACTGAAGCGGAAGGCCACGCCCTTCATGATGCTCTGGGCCGTGTCCCCTGTGAGGAACATGGCATTGGGGTCATTGATGCATTTCATCAGCAGCGTGAGCTCGCCCTGAGTGAAGTCCTGAATCTCATCGCCGTAGAGCTCATGGATGGACCACGGGAGCACCTTCAGCTTTGACAGTCTCTGGGACAGGTTGAACACAACATCCTCTTCGTCAAAATAACCTTTCTGGGACCTGATCTGCTGATACAGGCAGAAGAGGCTGTAGATCTCACTCCGGTCTTCCTTGAAATTGGGAGACCGTTTCCTGCCTAATTTCTTATACTCTTCTTCCGTGAGTCTCCCCTGGGGGCAGCTGAGGGCCTCAAATGACCCCTTCAAAAAAGATTTTATTTCTTTCCAAATCAGTGCAGGGTTGTAGAAGGTTTTCCCTTTGTTCATTTTGGGCCATATTTCATTGGTGAACACCTCAAACGTCACGTACACCCGGGGGTCAATGTCATATGAACGTGTTTCCACAATCTTATCCTCCTCACCGTTGTCCCCATCCACCTCAGCCTCCTCCTCCTCCTCCTGCCAATTGGGGATGGTCAACTCTTCCTGCGTGGACCATCCAGTGATGGTTCTTTTCAAGCTCCCATCTTCATTTCTCAGGAAAAACGGATTGGGCAGAGAGGCATCGAGCAGGAGGAGCAACTGCTTGGAAGTGACAAACAGAGGAAAGTTCTCGTCCTTCAGGTCCTGGAGTTTGTGAACATTGGGTTCCAGCGGTTTGTAGTGACTGGTGGCCTTGGCAGACTTGGAAAGCTCAATGAAATTCCTCTGCACCTGCTGACAGAGCACATGGTTCTTGGTCACGAAGATCTGGTGTAAGTGCTCCAGCTGTTGGGGATCATCTGGGGCACAGACTTCTGCCACTTGCTCAGGCCCCTCCAGGTCCCCACTGGCTCTCCCTGCACAGGCTTCACTCTCCTGCTCCTCACCTATGCTATCCACTGTCTCCACTTCAATGGAACCTTCCTCTTCCTCGTCCTCCTCCTTCTCTTCCTCTTCTTCCCTGCCTGGACCTTCCTTTCTAGGTTCCACTTCCAGCCTCCTCTTCAGCCAGACCTGTTTGGCCAGCAATGGGCTTCCTGCCTGCCCAGCGTTTTCCCAGTAAATGTGGAATTTCTTCCACAGCCTGTACAAGCAGCAAGTTGTCTTCCCGGTGCCGCTCCGCCCGATCAGGATGATGGGCTCCAGCGGCCTGGGATCGAGGTGGATCACCGCGTACTCGAGCTCGCCCACCCGGAAGGGGTACTCCACGGTTGCCATCATGTCATTGAGGATGTTGAAGGCCATGTTGGTGCTGAAGCTGTGGAACTTCATGATGTTGTACTCTGTCTGCACCGCACTGGCTGGGGGGAAATACTCGGGCTCCACATGCTCCCTGCCCTTCTCGGCCTCTGTGTCCTCCACGTAGCAGCGGGGTATCCGCTTTTTGATTTTCATGTTGGCCGACACCTGGCCTTTGTTGATATCTTTCAGCTTCTTCCGTAGAATGCAGGACAAGCCCCGGTTGTAGGCACTGCAGATGGCCCTGATGGAGTCCTTCAATTTGTCGTGATCTAAGACAATGTCCCAGATCCGGATGATTTCTGTATAGACCTGTCCCGACTTGCCCATGGAGTGTGAACTCTGCTCTGTGGCAATGATCTTCTCTGGGTTCTTGCTGCATCGAGGGGAGAAGTCAATGGCGAGCTCCCACAGCATCCGGGCTCCTTTGTCTAGCTTGGCCTCGTAGAGCTTGATATTCCCTTCCAGGTGCTTCAGCCGCTTCTTCAGGCTCTTGGTCCACTCACCGTTCCCCAGCTGATCGATGGCCAGGATGATTTTCTTCTTCATGACCTTGCTCATCACCTTACTGGATAGCTTCTTCAGGATTTCCGAGGTACACTCAATCTCCCATGTCATGTTCTCGAAGTCCTGGAGGCAGGCCTCCATCTCCTGCCAGTTGTCCTGATCGCCGCTGTCCTCCCTGCCTCTGTGACCAGCAGGAATGAGCTGCGAGGCCCCAAGGCTCACCTGAGGGTGCTCAGCCCCTGCCTCAGGGACAGCAGGGTTGTTCCCACTACAGTCACAGCCCCTGGCCCCTAGGGTTCGCTGGAGCTCGCCCTTCTTCACTTCTGTGCCAGCTCCTGTCTCCACAAGCTTGACGCCCTGAGCAAAGTCCTCTGGGAGAGACATGTCCAGTTCCACCTGCTCGATCAGAACCATGATGTCCTGCACAAGGCGGTCCCTCTGAGAGCAGGGCCTGACTGTTTCAAGCTCCCGTCTCATCATCTGGACATCTGGGAGCATCTCCCAGCTGTCAGGGACCGTGGCTTCTTTAGGCAGGGATCCGACAGTGACACCGCACGGCGGCAACTTGGATGAAACCTGAGACTCAAGCTGAGACGTGTGGCCAGGGACAGAAGGCCTCAGGAACCTCCCTGGCTGAGCGGCAGAGTCCTGCCGGCCCCGGCGCCGGCTCTCCGACACAGCCTTCTTCCAGGCCAAGAGCAGGGCATCATTCTTCTTGATCCGGTGCCGTGCGTCTTTGCCTTCTTTGTTCTTCAGGTTGATATTGATGTCAAACTTCGCCAGCAGGTCTAACAGCTTCTTCATGCGCCTCAGCATGCCCCTCTGGAAGAGGACATGCATCAGCGTGTTCCCATTGCTGTCCTGGATGTTGGGGCTGAGGTAATCGAACTCCGTGGGGTTGGACCAGAATAGATCCAACAGGTGACTGAGGAAGTTAAAACCGATGTCAGCTGAAAGACACAAATAAACCCTCTGAGTGCTGAGCCGCTCTTCTGCATTAACAGAGACCCCTGGATTAAAAGAGATGCCAGCCTGGGGTGTCTCAGAACACCCAACTCCCCTAAGTATTTGATAACCTGGTGATTCTCAACTGGGGGGCAATTTGTGCCCCAAGAGACATGTGACAATGTCTGGGGACATTTTTTATAGTCACAATTTGGGAGGTGCTCCTGGCATCGAGTGGTGGAGGCCAGGGATGCTGCCCAACATCCATCCTACAGAGCACAGGACAGACTCCACAACAAAAAAGGTATCCAACCCAAAGGTCAACAGTGCCAAGGCTGAGAAACCCTGAGATAACCTTATAAGATTCCAGTAAGATCCTGTCAGGATCCTTGAAAATGGTGCAAATAAATGGCAAGTATCTGTTAGCTATGGAGCCAACTTTGAAACGTAAGAACCCTCCTCTGATCATTTCCCATGGTGGTTACTCCTTCCCGTCAAGCTACAAGCAGGCCTTGCCAAGAAATGGGCTTTTTCCAGATTGTTGGTTTTCCCAATAGAAACAAAAAACCGAGCATCCATCCTCCTCAAGGAGAAGACCAGTTTGAAAACAGAGGCCTACCATTGACATCTAAAAAGATGTGGAGTGCCGCATGCAAAGGGGTGTCTCCTTCCATGAGAGAAATGCCGTGGGGGTCTGCACCCCTGCTCAGGAGAAGAAGAGCCAACTCGAAGTCCTCATGCTTCAGGCACATGACCAGTGGCGGCTCCCGGCTGCCCTTGAGACCCTCGGGCAAGGCTGGGGAGAGGCAGAAAAGGGCACCATGAGCTGCATTCATAAGATGAGGTATAGCCTGGTTCATCTGGGGAGGGCAGGACAAGCGCTGCCATTTATTCCCAGGGGAGAGCTGATGCTCACCTGACTTCTGAGGTCCCCCTACCACCTCCTGGGAGGCCAAGGCTTCCCAGCATCCTAAGAGTGAAAACCCAACTCCTTCAAGTGCCCTGTTCATGGGCCTTGTCTCTCCTGCCTCTCTAGCTCCCCCCGTCGTCCCAGCACAGGACACAGACCCCAGCATTAGCACTGCTGGGAGGAGGGACAGGGCCTGCAAACGGCCGACTCCCCAGTGCTGCCTGCCACCATACCTCCTGCACAGACGGTGATCAGGACATTAGCACCACTTCCACCCTTTGTTTCTACGAAGCATCTTCCCAAGAATGCTCTCTACCCTCGATTGCAATCCTCCCTGATGCCTCTCCAGCCCCCACATACCTTCCTTTAGCTCAGTCCACACTTCCCCTCTGCACTGCAGTCTCCCCGACCTCCATGCACTATGGATCTGCAGCCCTCTGGCACATGCCTCCAGCAGCCATGCACTCACTTTGTACTTGGGCCCTAGCACCTGACCCCCAGGTAGTGCTCCATCCGTGCTTGGGGGAATCAGGAATAAAACTGGAATTCCATCACAGCCATCGTTTCTGGGCAAAGGGAGCAAGACTCCCTACAAGGAACAGGTTTGAAGAAATAAACTCTAGGAGGCATTCCATCCACCTCCTGGAACCTGTGGGTGGAGCCAGTGCCTAAGGGCTTTGTTTGGCACTGTGAGGGCTGAGGACCAGTGTGGCATCACTCCCCTTAAACGGCAAAGCAAATAGAAAACCCGCAGCCAAGGTGCTCTTCCAAGAACCACTCCGTGAACTCACTTAACATTCAAAACATCCCAAAGACAGAGGGACCATTATCGTTCCTGTTGTATGGAGATGAAGGCACAAACAGCACGCCCACGGCCACACAGCTAGCAATGGCATTAGTGGTGGGGGTGGGGAGGCTGGGAGGAGGTTGGTGTTTCCAAACTTGTTTTAAAATAAAACCCAACCCACCAAGAAGCTGCACTCTCCAGACGAACATCGAGCCAAGTGCTATTGTGCTGATTAAAGCGGCAGGTGTTTCCACCCACCCATCATTTGACTGTTTTTTTTAAAAGCAAGCATCTCAAACCCCAATGTGTTGATTAGAAAAGAACGCCCAGAGTTGGCGAGGCCCCACGCAGCACATGCAGTGCGGGGATAAGTCCAGCCAGAGGCCAGGAGGAAGTGCCACCGTGGGCTGAGCCGGGACCAAGGACCCTCTCCCACCACGTACCTGAGATTTCTCAAAACTGTAATTCGCAGAAATCGTATAGGGCAACACCCACTGACAGGCCTCACTGTTTCAAGATGAGAAGATATGGAGGAAGAGAAGGAGGCAGAATTTAAAGGAGTCTCCCAAACCAGGTGAAAAACGCCATGAACGGCAGTGGCCTGAGCTCCCGTGGGAGGAACTCCCCAGTGCTTAGCATCTCGGCATCCTCACCTCCACTGTCTATCAGGCGGCCCAGGAGCTGTACCCGGCGCTGGTCCCAGGCGCTGAGCAGGGGGATGATGGAGCAGAGGTCGAGGTCCGCGAAGTTGCAGTCTTTGATGAGGCCGTCTCCGAGCGGTGGCTCTCCGCTCACTTTGCGGGTCAGCAGCAGAAGCACTTCCGGCCATTTCTGTTTTTCCAGCAAAATCTTGATGAAGGTGTTGGCACAGTCGCGATTAATGTCACAGACCAGATCGGGAGGAATTTCTTTCAAAAATAAAAATACAGCACACTCCAGAAAAGGTTCATATGGTTTTTGTTCCCAACTACAACTTATCACCAATATATGTAATTAAGCACAAGTTATTCATCAGTAGTTTTAAAGAACTGGAGAAACTATCAACAAGAAATGAATTACTTGCAACGCTTCTTCGGAAGGTTAGAAATACCCTAAGGAGGGTAGACCTGGTCCAGGAGGAGAGCAGAATGCTGCCTGCATCTTGAGAAAGAATACTTGAGTTAGGGCAGTCTATTGAGATAGAAGGGCAAGAGCCCAGCTTAAATTCTGCATAATATAAAGAGTTTGTCTTGCTTAAGAACACTGAAATACAGAAAGACACTAGAGAATAATTTAAAAGTCAAGAGTTATAGGGTAATGGTAAGAGGATGATTTAACCCCCAATTCCTAATTTTGTACTGTGAAACCTAAGAGTTTCCATTTGATCTTGGATGTCTAGGGACAGGATAATGGTTATCCCAGTTCATGAGGCTGGTGTCTCTTAAGAGTGAAAAACTTTTCAAAGAGATCCTTAGTAAGTACATTGCAGGGTCAGCAAATAAAAATATAAGAAACCAGTTACATTTGAATTTCAGATCAACAACAAACAAATGTTCAGCATTAGTATGTCTCGTGCAATATTAAGGACATACTTATACTATTCATTGTATACTTATACTACTTATGTATTTATTCACTGTTTATCTGAAATTATAATTCAACTGACATTCTGTATTTTTTCTGGCAATTCTACCAGTAAGAAAAGCAGGAAGGAAAAGAAGGGAAGAAATCAGGGTTACCTAAATAAGAGCATTTTGATTTGCACTTGCTAGTTTTTGCTTCCCATCTTTTTCTAAGTTTTCTAAAATAAATATTATTTTTAATATTTAAAAAGTTCATTTGAAGACAAGAAGAAAACTTCAATATAGGCTATCCTATCATAACAGGAATCAGCAAAACAAAAGTGTAAAATACAGCCCTGGCCAATTTGGCTCAGCGATTTAAGCATCAGCCCACAGACCAAAGAACCTCGGGTTCGATTCCGGTCAAGGGCACATCCCTCGGTTGCGGTTCGTCCTCAGCCCTGGTCGGGGTTGTGCAGGAGGCAGCCAGTCAATGTGTCTCTCTCTTGTCGATATTTCTCTCTCTCTCTCTCTCTCTCTCTCTCTCTCTCTCTCTCTCTCCTTTTTTCTCCCTCTCTCTCCCTCCCTCCTATTCTGTCTGATGATAAAATAGAAAAATATCCTCAGGTGAGGATTAAAAAAAAAATGTGAAACACAGACTTTCATCACAGACATGTAATTTGTGTGCTCCAGAATCTATGCTCTTGTCTTCTGGTGCACATGCTCCCACTCACCAGCACTGTCCATTCCACGAGGCAGAGATGGGGGCAGCATAGGCTTGGTAAGCCAAGGTGGACTCTCCATCCTTTTGACCACAAGTATTGGTTCAGAGGTTCACATTGTAACCAAAAGTGAAGGACTTTTGTTCAAACAACTGGAAGAGAGATGGGGCCACAGATTCCAGAAACTCCGGACAAAGTTAGTGGTTAGACGCCTGGATCCTGTCTCCACAGAGTCTGAGATGAAAGCCAACCAAAGGGCAGGTGGGTTGAAAGGTGGGAAACACTGGGTCCTGCTGACATTGGTTAGATCCCTGAAGCCAGCCTCATACTCCTATTATGACTGTCAAAAATGTCACTTTTTTGCTGATGTAAGCCCATTTGAGTCTACCTGCTACTTCTAACACAGTTCTAAACATCCTATACTGTGGTCAATTAAGGAAAGAAAGAGGGAAAGTACAGAGGAAAAATATTCAAGAATAAGATGGATTAAAGCTGCTAGAATAGAGCTGCGAGAAGACCTTCAGGAAAGATAGGAACAGAAAGAAACAGAGTAACCGAACCCAAGTGAGAGAAAAAGGAACCACACCAACATACACAATCCCCCCAGAGAAGCAGAGAAAACACAGGAGCACAGACCATCAGACCGGAATGACAGTCTAGGAGTAGCTTTCCCATCCTGTGGCCCCTTAGGAGATGTTTACCAAAAACCAATATTTTATTTTCAAAACCCTAAGATTAAAGGAGGACAGTCTTCATGGGTCATGGGCCAGATAAGATCAAGTCCAAAAGCCAAAGGCTCCCTAGCAACAACTGCACAAAATGGCCTATGTCTACTAGGTCCAACACAAGGCAGCCCATTCAGAGTCTTGGGTGTGCTGTTTACCTCTGACCCACTCGTATCCAAGAAAGAAAGATCATTCTGGCAACTTTACCTCGCCTCCACCCACCGCATTCTGTGTGTGGGCCACTGGACATCCCTCATCTCAGGAGGTTAAGGCTCTGGCCAAGGCCAAGAGGGAGAAACTGAAGTGTAAGGAAGTTAAGTGGTTGGCCCAGGGTCTCAGATCTGGTAAGTGGCAGTATTAAGATTCAAAACTCCAAGCCCTAAATACTGTATACCCTGAAGAGCACATGGGGCCCCGGCCATGCCTTCCTGTATTCTCTGTGGAATCGAGAAACCTCAGCCGTACGAATGAATGGTCCAAGTGAATGCTTTATAGACCATGCTGAATACTGATGTTAAGAACTAAATTTCACCTACTAAGGATTTCTAGAATCTCCCCTAATTATCTAAAGTTTGCCATCTAAAGTTCTTTTCTGGTACTTTCCTTATTTCCCCATAATGGAAAGAAATTAACTCAATTCTACAATAACGATATGCCCCGACGTCAGGCAATATCTATAGAAGAGAGAAACATCTGTGGTGTTTTTAGAAGGATAGTCTAGGCAAAAAGTAATTCTAAGAGGATACATGAAAAACTAGTTATGGAGGTTGCATTGGGAATGGGATTGAAGGACGGGTGTTCACAGGTGTATGACAGACTTTTCACTGATAGATAACTGCTGTTTGACTGTGTTACATGTAGATCATTGTTTTTAAATCCATTTCTAAAAGGTATTCAAAAAGTTTTAATGAGCATAAATAACCTTTCACACAATTGAATTTGTGAGAAAAATTACCTTGCAGAGAAGAAAGGAGGCGCAAGAACCTCTGAACTACATCTTGCTTCATAAAGTTTTTAGGCAATAACCGGTTTCCTGAGTTCATGTACTTCACCAGCTGTGCAGAGGCCTTCCGGAAAATGTCGCTCTCACTAACGGATCCATCACCATTGCTCAGTCCTGCAAAACACCACCAGGTGATGCTTCCAAATACAGAGAGCACAGCTTCTGCACCTCCTCCAAGTACCTACATGCATTGCCATGTGACCTTGTAACTCCTCCCATCAAGAGGTGAAGCCTGTTCCCCTCCACCACCCCTGATTCTGGCCTAGCTTCATGACTAGTTATGACCATTAGAATGCAGAGGATGTGACTTCTGTGCTGGATCTGAGCCTAGGCTTCCAGAGGCCTTTCGTTCTCTTCACTCTCTTGGGACCCTGGCCTCCACCATGTGAAAGGGCCCAGGCTGGTCTTCTGGGGAATGAGACAGTATAGAGCATAGTGAAATCAGTCCAGTTGTCCAAACTGAGGCCTCACAGATGTTAAAGAGCCTGGCCAAGATCAGAAAGACTACAGACACATAAAGGAGTTCAGTTAAGGCTATGAGAACAGCCCAGCCTGAACCACTGACCTGCAGGGTCATGAGCTAAACATGTGTTTCTTGTTTTAAGCCAGTCAGTTTCGGGGTGGTCTGTGAAGCAGCAGTAGGTAACTGACAGAACAGTTCAGGAAAGTGACAGAAGGAGGATGACTTAGTGCCACGGCAATGTACAACTACAGCCGTCCCCCCTTCCCCATGATTTCATTTTCCACAGTTTCAGTTATCTCCAGTTAACCCCGATCTAAAAATACTAGATGAAAAATTCCAGAAATAAACAATTCATAGCTTTTGTTGCACGCTGCTCTGAGTGCCATGACAATATCTCACACCACCCACTCCCTCCCACCCAGGACATGAATCATCCCTTGTCCAGCTCTCTGCACTGGATATGCCACCTGCCCGTTAGTCACTTAGTAGCCGTCTGCTTCAGAGAAAGTATCCACATGCACATAACTTCTATTATGATATATTGTTATAACTGTCCTTTTGCATTATTATTGCTCATCTCTTTACTATGCCTAGTTTATAAATTAAACTTTGTCAGAGGTATGTACGTACAAGAAAAAAACAGTATATTTAGGGTTTGGGATTATCCGCAGTTTCAGGCATCCACTACAGATAAGGGGGGACTATGCATGACCGCCATCTGCGTGCCTTATTGGTAAGCAGAAAAAGCCAAAAATAAGGAGTCATCTCTCTGGCCAAAGAAGAGAATGCTATGCCCCCTGGTTCAATTTATTTGAGAAAGTAGTTATGACTAGAAAACACCCACTGATGAAATGTTGAAAAGGGCAAATGTTAATTACTGGGTATCAGATTATATACTCAAAACCACTCAGTTAAAATGGAATCTTACCACTCTGGCCAGTGGCTCAGCTGGCAGACCAAAGAGTCAGGTTCAATCCAAGTCAAGGGCACGTACCTCAGTTGCGGTTCAGTCCCAGGCCCTGGTCAGGGTTGTGTGGGAAGCAACCAATCAATGTGTTCCTCTCACATCGATGTTTCTCTCTCTCACTTCGATGTCCCTCTTTCTCTCTCTTTCTCTTTCCCACTCTATCTGAAAATAAATGAGAAAATATCCTCAGGTGAAGATAAAAAAAAATGGAATCTTACTGAACAACTCAGGGAGCAAAACTGGACACGTGTTTTCACACCCAATGAAAGGGCCTGGCCCACAGCACAGTCACCATCATGCTGCCAGGAGATCAACAAAAGTTCAGCGTCACATTCTAGCAGAGTCGGAGCTCTTTGAAAGAGATCGACTATTAAAATGGGGAAAAAGTAAAAAGCACCCTATCTTCAGTCAGGTTTCTAGTAGCAGGCCCTGAGTCAGGATTTCTGTTCAAGTAGTTTATCAAGGAGGAGACCAGTGAGGGAGTGGCCAGGGTCTGAGCTCAGGCCAAGTCCCACAGAGGGTGGCCTCTCCTGATCTCACAGCGGAGTTCTGGAGTAAGTGGCTTCTCACAGCTGTCCCCATGCAAGGCCAGGAAAACAAGCCTTCAATTCTCTCGTCTGTCACCAGCTACAGGTTGCTTTGGGAGGGAGGATGTAAATTCCCAGGCACTTCTGGTTTGAAGGACGAGCAAAACAGGTTCCATGAGCCCAAAGACTGTTAAGAACAAGCTTTAGGTGCTAATTTTTCAGAGTGAAGGCACAAGAGTGGAAAAAGGGGATCAATCCAAGCAGAGCTCTGATATTATCTGCTGTACCTTCTGATACACAGCTGATCACCTTTAACAAATCAAATCAGAATACCAGAATCTCACACACACACACACACACACACACACACACACACACACACACACTTTCTGGGGCAAACACCCATTGCCCTCTAATCAAGAGACCTCAGGTACCAGACAAAACAAGACAACTCTAGCACTATCTTCTAGAGCAGCAGTTCTCAACCTGTGGGTCACAACCCCTTTGGGGGTTGAACGATCTCTTCATAGGAGTGGCCTAAGACCATCGAAAAACACGTATTTCCGATGGTCTTAGGAACCGAGACACCGCTCCTCTGTCCGTCTCCAGGCGGGTCCGCCCACATGCAGATACGCCCACATACAACAGGAGGAACTGTATTAAAGAGTCGCAGCATTAGGAAGGTTGAGAATCACTGCTCTAAAGAAAAAGAAATGGAAACCATTTGGCAAAGGGAGACCTCCACCCCCTAAGCTAGAAGCCCACTCTGAGACAGAAAATGTGTGAGCTGGAGCTGTGACTGACTAGCACTCCTGAACTCAGCTCCCACCTTCATCCTAAAATCCCAGGAAGACACAGAAAACTGCAAACTCACAATACAGAAAAATAGGACCCTTGGGAAAAGAGCTTCCTTCACTACTGAGCAGATGGAAACCTGCCTCCTGCCCTGGCCGGTTTGGCTCAGCGGTTAGAGCGTCGGCCCACGGACCAGAGAGAAACCTGCCTCCCTGCCTCTTGCCATGACCAGCTTTTAGGGGACATCATTCTTCCACCAGAGGAATTAATTTAGTATAAAAGTCACCTGAAGCTGAACAGAAACATACCAAGTTTGACAACAGAGATAATTAGATGCCGTTGTATGATAAATGCGGGGTTGTATGGTTCAGGGTAGTTAAGAAAACAGTTACAGATCAGAGACAGCTCTAGACATCAGGAAAGAAACCAGAGAAGGAGCTAAACACTGTAAAAATGCCAAAGGGAACGATGCTGAGGCACTGGCAACAGTATCCCTGGGAGGTGTGGGTCATGTGTTTATTACTCCAAACTTGTCTGGGATTTTTTAAATTTTTCTATAAGCTTAATAAGAGACTAAAGAAACATCAGAATATAAAGTTGCTTATACATTATAATCACTTTCTTTTAAGTGACTATGTTAGTACTAAACAATAATAAAGAGACTGGGTAAAAATATGCCAAAGTGAGATTACAATAAATGTTTGTTTTTATGCAAAATCATATTTTACAAACCTGCTACAATAATCATGTTTAGTAAATATATATTAGCAGATTTGAAATAAAATAAAAAAAATGAGCCCTGGCCAGTTTTGCTCAGTGGTTAGAGTGTCAGCCTGCGGTCCAAAGAGGCCCAGGTTTGGTTCCTGCTAGGGGCATGTCCCTCGGTTGCGGTTTGTCCCCGGACCTGGTTGGGTCATGCGGGAGGCAGCTACTCGATGTGTCCCTTTCACATCGATGTTTCTCTCTCTCTCTCTCTTTGTCTCTCTCCCTCCCACTCTGTCTGAACAAAAAAAAATGGAAAAATGTCCTTGGGTGAGGATAAAAAAAAAAAAAGAAAACTAAAATGGATCTTCTGAAGTTACAACAGGGCACAGAAGTGTTAGAAAACAGAAATAAATCATTTCAAAAAGATTTCACTTTTCCCCTAAATCTTTCTTTCAAGCTATAAAAGACAAAACTGGTAAGTTTTATCACACAAACTGGTATGGTTTATTATACACATTTTATCAATTTAAATGTAATCACCTCATTTTTTTTTTTCTTAATCCTCACCCGAGGACACTTTTGCATTTATCTTCAGATAGAGCAGGAGGGAGAGAGGGAGGAAGAGAGAGAGAGAGAAACATCGATGCGAGAGAGACACATGGAATGGTTGCCACCCACACAACCCCAACCGAGGCCAAGAACAAACTGCAACCAAGGTACATGCCCTTAGCGGGAACTGAAACCGGGATTCTCTGATGCTCTAACTGCTGAGCCACAGGCTGATGCTCTAACTGCTGAGCCAAACCGGCCAGGGCATAATCACCTCATTTTTTATAAAAGAAAATGTAAAAACGTATAAATGTAAATGCATAAAAGGAGACTAAATAACTAAGTCACAAATATATTAATTTGCAGGTATAGGTTGGTTTATGGAGAATTAATATTTTCTTGTTTTCTTTTCCTATATTTTGTAGTTTTCATTTTTAAAATAAGAATATATTACTCTTATAATAAAATTTAAAAAGTATCATGGACATCCCTTAAGGAAATACTGCATCCCTGCATTACCGAAAACGGGGCAGGAAAACCAACACACAGAGAGAAGTTTCCAGTATCCTCCAGTGCTGTTCTAGAGATGCCTGCAGGAGCACAGAGCAGAAAGCAGCTGGCTTACCGGGGAGGACCAGAAAGAAAAGCTTCAAAGTGCTGGATTTGTTCTCACTTAAAAGCCATGCATTAGTGCATGAGAGATCGATCAATCAACCTTGCTCTAGGTCCTAAGCAAAGAGTTGAGCTGCCAGAGAAGGTGGACATGCTGCCACCTGGTGGTAAAGGGCAGGTAAGACAGTTACATAATCCTAACTCCTCAGGAATGAAGCCTTGCTCCTAAAAGTGGGCTCTGGCTTCCCCTGGCAGCTAGTGAGAATCTTGAATGAGGCCCTGAACCTGATGAAGGAAAATCAGCATTTTAACAGGCCCCCTAGTGATTCCTGTTCCTGTCGGGAAGCTCTGGTTTAGAGAACAGCAGAAAATCTTAAGCAAGACCCTCTGTTTCTCAGGCTTTATTTTTCACCCAGATGCAAAAGCGACCCTATCCACAGACACTATCACTTGCTAAGTCTTCCTGATAATTGTCATCCTCCGCTTTTCTGATTTTTGTCAGTTTCTTTTGCTTCTTTTGACTCAGTGTTTCCCTAACCTGGTCAATGGTCTGAAAAACTTTAAAGTAATCAGATACCCAATAAGTTTACCAATGAGTATTGGGGACTTTAGGCTTGACTGCATCCATCCCCTGCCATCACAGACTACCCAGTCAGCCCAAGGGCAGGCCTGGAATAGGCTACGTTCTTCCTGCATGTAATTTTCAGCCAAGCAAGTGCAGTTGAGTCCTAATAAGTAAAAAAGCAACCAGCTGCAATTCCAAGTCTCTTCTCTCGGTTCCAAACCTGAACCAGAATTAGCTGGTAAAGGAGCAGAGAGGAAGGAAGAGCGAGACCCTATCTTAATGGATGAGATGTTTTTAAGATCAGCAGAAATTCAAAAATTCTATTATACGAGGAAACCAAAAATATCAAAACTTTTAAAAACTAAATTAAAATGAATGACTTATGCTAACGTCTATAACACTAAATAAAATGTGATATTGATATATATATCCACATAGTATTCTAAGAATTAATATTAGAATTAATATTAGAATTAATAAGCATTAAGTTGGCAAAGAAACCATTTTCTACCATTAAATGGTGGTTGCTTTTTGCTGTTATTTTAAAACTTGGAAGTTCATTGGCAAAGAAAGTTTCAATTTCTCAATTTAATGTACCATTAAACTGGGGTATATCAGTGATGATGAAACACATTCCAATTTCAAAGATGTTAAAATGGCGGGAACAGGGGGTAACTTGGAATCAATGAAATACAATGCCTATATTCAGACATATTATCAACCAATAAAGGATAAAATAAAGACTTCGAAACTCCATAAGTCTCCTACCCATGTCTCCTCCATTAAAAACTTACATGAGCCCTGGCCGGTTTGGCTCAGCGGTTAGAGCCAACCAAAGAGTCGTGGGTTTGATTCTGGTCAAGGGCATGTACCTCAAATGCAGTTCAGCCCAGCCCTGGTCAGGTCATATGGGAGGCAACCAGTCAATGTGGCTCTATTACATCGATGTTTCTCTCTGTCTGTCTGTCTCTCTCTCTCTCTCCCTCCCTCCCATTCTATCTGATGACAAAGAGAAAAATATCCTCGGGTAAAGATTAAAAATAAAAAAAACTTACATAAGTTGGTGCTCTAGCTGGACCAGGGAGAAATCAAAACAGACATGAGCGACAAGAGTCATATATGAGTAACAGAATTAAAAGAAGCTTAATGTATACATGCTGGGACTAAAGTCTAAATAAACTCTAGAACGTATATATGTGTACATGCATATATACACATATATGCAATAATGTATGATTCATTAAACTGAGATGCCTAAAAAGTGTCACATTTTTAAAAATAATTTTCACTTTTCGTTTGCAATTGACATTCAATATTCTATTAGTTTCAGGTGCACAGCATAGTGGTTAGACATGTATATAACATACAAAGTGATCCCCCCAATATGTCTAGTACCCACCCGACACCATATATAGTTATTGCAATATTTAAAGAGCAAAGTTTTTAGGACATTTGGTAATTCTTTTCTATAAACCCAGTTATGCTACTAGTTGTAGAAAGTGTAATGTTTACATAATGATCCTACCATGAAAATGCCATTCACTGGTTTTCAACTTTTAGAATCAATCTATATAAGAAGCACAGAAAACTTAGAGTTAAGGAACAGGATGTAAATGACACAAATAACATTACTAGACCAAATTCAACAAGTGGGACTGACTTGTTGCACCTGATCTTATAGAGCAGTCAGTCAATGGATACTGTCCCAAACTGATAAATCAAGAAATAGAAATATAAGTTAATATACAAGTGCATAAGTGTAATTTAGTGTAATATAAGTGTATTTGACATTATTGGCTGTCTCTGAAAAGTAGGAATTGTTTTTATCTCCTGTTCTGATTTTTTTTTTTACTGTGTGCATGCATTCGGAAAAAAAATCCCCATCGTATCTAAAGGAGAACCTGGCAAAGTTCCCAGAATATCACAGATGCTCTCTAAATAAGAGTTGTCTCATTCTATCTTCCAAAAAAATGCAAACAAGTTTTCCAAAGATTGAGTCTCATTTCCATCTTCATATACCAAGAAAAGATAAACCAATTTGTATCTAATATCACAGAATCAGTTTTACATGCCCCCCCCCCACACACACACACCAAAAGAAAGTTAATTCACTGGAAGCTATACCTGATAGGTCCTTAGAACACGCAGCCAGTTTCTCCAAGTGACTATTGATTTTCTCAATGGCTTTGAAGTTCTTATTCCTCTTCAGGACATCCACTGGGGTCCTGAACTGTCGATCCACCAGGGTGGGGTCTGCCCCAAAGCGCAGAAGCATCTGCACATCCTCTGTTTGTCCTAGGGCAGGCCAAAAGGAAAAAGGGACATTGTCATGGTTCCTTCCGTAAGGAGATGTCCCCATGAGTGCTCGTCCTCCCAGTTTCCTGCCCGAGTAGCCTGAGGCAAGGGGACCAAGATCCCTCTGCTTACGGAACCTGAACTGCTGGCCTTGGGCAATCCACCCAACTCCCCAAAGCAAGGAGTCCTGTGTGGAGTGGGAAGGACAATAGCTTTTAAGAGGTTTAGAAGTGCGCTCCTCTATACCTTTCTCCCCTCTCCTTGGCAACAAGCAAGGAGAGGGGGAATCTGGTTACTAGGCAACAGTTACAGCTGTAAGGATAACAGCAAGCTGTGACTTCAGATTTCTTTATTCCCTGGAGAAGAAACAAAATATTCTTCCAGAAAGAAAAAGCCTGTCTGGGGACAGGAGAAGAAAGTGGCAATTGCTCTCTCATCAGGGTCTTTTGGTTGTCACTGTTTCCACCCTCCCAGCCCCTAACCCTCTGGCTGCCAGTTCCATTTGCTTTTTTGACAAATCTATTTGCCAAGCATCAAGGTGTCTCTGTAATCACAGATGTAAGTTTTCAGAATGGAACAGGTGTATCTCTGGGGCATAAAGACTTCCGTAGGTACGGAGAGTTCAAGGAATCAATGCCTGATCCCCAACTTCCACACCCACACTTTCCTAAAAGTCACTGCCTTGACCAGAAACCTGTACTCCAGGTACTGTCCTGCTCATGATGTTCTCCTTCCCATCTCCCCAGTAACATCTGCTCTTCTTCCACTTTACAAAAATAAGGCAAAATTTAAAAGTCCCACTTTTTTCTTCCCCATCAAGTATCTCACAGTGGTGGGCAGAATCTAAGACACCCCCTTAGATTCTCAGCACCTGATATACACCTTCTCCCAGTTCTTCAAGCAAATACTAATCTGGGTACTGCTGTGATGAGACTCTGAAAATGTCATTCAAGTCCCAAAGCAGTTGACCTTAAGTTAGAGGTATTTTCCAGGTTGGCTTGACCTAGTCATTTGAAACTTAAAGGTCAAATTCTCCCCTACCGGCTTTAAAGATAGAGGGTACCCCATGACAAGCTATGTGTGTGGTCTGTAGACACTAACAGCAGCCTCTGGCTGACAGCCAGCAAGGAAACGGGAACCTCAGTCCTACAACCACAAGAAACTGGATTCTGCCACAACCATGTACTTGAAGGAAGGCCTGGAACTTGAGGCAAGAACACAGTCCCTGTCAATACCTAATTTAAGCTTTGGGAGGCACTGAGCAGAAAATTCAGTCACATGGAAGCCCATCTTCTAAAAGGGAGGATGAGAGAGGAAACCCATTCCCATCCTGTCACTCATCTGGAGAGTGGCATAGGTTCTAGCATCCTGAGCCTTGTCATCTGTGAAGCTGGACTCATGACACCTTCCTCACAGCTGTCCCAGGTGAGTATATGGCATGTGGTGGGACTCCATAGCCCTTTAAGTCTTGGGACACAGCAATAGAGGCTGGCTGAGCCTCAGGGCCAAGGCTGGCATTGCGAAAAGCCATTTCTCATTGTTTCTCCTAATACAGGTATCTTTTTGAAGGAAGCAAATACCCTTTGGATAGGCCTTCAGTTCAAAGTTTTCAATACGCACAAAGTAGATTTTAAAAAACTGAATGGACTCTGGGTGTGTGTGTGTGTGTGTGTGTGTGTGTGTGTGTGTGTGTTTCTATGTCCCTCTAGCTCTATCAGTTGAAATACATGCTCACAGTTGGAGCTTTATCCTCAGTTTAGACCAGAGCTGTACTTCCAATCTCAAGATTAGATATCCCACAAAATGTGCTTTTATATCCTAGAAAAGTGGTGTATACAGGATTGTTCCAGTTAAGTGAAAATCCAGAAAACACTGACTGTACCTGCAAAGTCAAGCTCCTAACCTCCCTCCCACCCTCCCCTTTGCTGAGCCTGCTGGTCTGAGATTCTGAGCTGCAATCCTAGACTTGGCCACCAGGTGGCATTACATCTATCTCCATTTTTCCCCCCTTTATTGATTTTTAGAGAGAGATTTGGAAGGGAGAGGAAGAGAGAGATAGAAACATCGATGAGAGAGAACATCAACTGGCGGCCTCCTTCATGCCCCCCACTGGGGATCGGGCCCACAAGCTGGGCATGTGCCCTGACTGGGAATTGAACTGGCGACCTACTGGTGCGTGGGTGGATGCTCAACCACTGAGCCACACCAGCTGAGCCATTTTTGTTCTTTTTTACTAAAAAGGAGTACATTTTGCAAAGAGTAAAAAATATCATGAAATGGTTTGTTTACTAAGATGTCAATTATGTTTGAATTATACATTAATAAATGAGGTAGTGTTTTAAACCACTTAGTTTATGGTAGCTTGTGACACAGCATAGAAAACTAACGCAATTACCATAGTGTATTGTCCCAAATGAGGTGAAAACTTGGATCTCCAGGGTATCACGTAAGGGAAAATTAGGTGCCTGCCAAGCCCCTTTTAAGAAGCTCTATAATCCATCCTCTTTTTAAAGATTTTTTTTATTGATTTTTAGAGAGAGAGGAAAGGAGAGGGGGAGAGAGAGAGAGAAACATGGATGTGAGAACAAAACATCAATCGGTAGCCTCCTGCACGCCCCCTACTGGGGATCGAGGCTGCCACAGGGCATGTGCCCTGACTGGGAATCAAACCGGCAACCCCTCAGTGCAGGGGACAATGCTCAAGCAACTGAGCCACACTGGCCAAGGCAATATAAAAGTTTTTTCCTTTATACTCACCCAAGAACATTTTTTTCCAGTTTTTGTTCAGATAGAGTGGGAGGGAGAGCGAGGAAGAGAGAGAGAGAGAGAGAGAGAGAGAGAGAGAGAGAGAAACATCGACGTGAAAGGGATACATCGAGTGGTTGCCACCCACATGACCCAGCCAGGGCCGGGACAAACTGCAACTGAGGTACACGCCTTTAGCAGGAGCTGAACCCAGGTCTCTCTGGACCACAGGTCAAAGCCCTAACCACTGAGGCAAACTGGCCAGGGCTAGTTTTTAGTATGTTTCTGTTGTTTTGATAATCTCTGGAGTAGTGATTTTAGAAATAATATAATCCAAAAAAATGAACCCTTACACTATTACAATCACTAAATTTTTTTGAAATATAAAGTTATATGAATACTTTTGTTCCTTTTCAGTATCACTGAATGACTATTAAGACTTTGAAGCATAAAATATATTAGGGCAAACTTCTTTTCATAAAATAAATTGGAACTATGAATCCAAAAAAGAAGAAAGTCACATTTGATATTTTTCACCACTAAGGAACTTGTCTATAATTTTAAAAATAGATATTAGGGGATATCAAATTGTTGTGTATTTATAGTCTATTATATATACAAGTAAAGGAGTGAGATCAAAGTTTTATTTTAAATTATCAGTGTGTAAAAAATTCTGAAAATTACCCTTATAATTATTTAAACTTTCACGTAAAAAAATTCTAGATGTCAACTTAAAAACATGTAAAGAGGTACACAGGTTTTAAAAATTATTTAAGGGGATAAGAAAGCAAAATTTAAAGACCACTGACATATAATTTTTTTATTTGACTAGCATCCATTCCCCCTTTTCCTGAAAATAACACCCCAGTTTTCCTTTGGGAAAGCACCTCTGACCTATTCCCAGCTTACCTAATTTGATAGGAGTGAACACCAGACAGACTCACAGGTCTGTCACCATGACAACCTCCACACTGCCCCAGCCGTGGCTCTAGGGGTGAAAACCTGACCAGAACCTGGCCAATGAGATCATTCCATCCTTCTGGCTCCAGTGATTAGTTCATGGTGGGGGTGTGAGGGTAGTTTGTTACCAAAGTCAAATTATTGAGACTCTTTCCTAGGACTTTTACTGAAATATTCAGAGGAGGACTCAATGCTTCAGTCACATGAACCAATGAATCCCCTTTCCTGCCTAAACCAGTTTGAGTGTCTGTAGCTTGTACTACTCCCAAGCCATCCACAAATTTTCAATTTGACCGTTCCCACTGCTGCCTGGCTCTGATGATTCCCTGAGACTCTGTCCCTGGACTTTTAAAACCACTGCTCCAGAGCCAGGGACCACAGTAATAACAACTAGCACCTACCAAAATGCCAACAGGACCGAAGACTTCTAAGGCTGTGATGCTGCAGTTACTTCCAATGGGGATTTGACATTCGGGCCACATTAAAGAATATGCAGAGCTCTTGACTCTCCATGTACCAAAAATATATTCAAGATGGAGATAATCTCACACACGGCTGGGGCAACCTCTCTGGGGTCCAGGCTAGCAATAGCTTTCAAAATCCAAATACATATCATTATGTCAACATCTTAAAACTGTATATATGCTTTTACCTAAACATACATAAAATATTTGTGGAAGAAAACATAAGATATTGATAATACTGGTTCCTGAGTGGCTGAAGGACTGACATAGGATAGAGCCTCTCCATGTAGACCTTTCGTACCTTTTGATTTTTATTTGTTTGTTAAGCCTCAACCGAGGATATTTTTTCCATTGCTTTTTAGAGAGAGTGGAAGGGAGGGAGAAGGAAAGAGAGAAACATCGGTGTGAGAGAAACACACTGATTGGTTGCCTCCTACACAACCCCTAACAGGGCTGGAAATCAAACCTACAGCCCAGGTGCGTGCCCTTGACCGGGAATTGAACCCAAGACCCTTAGGTCTGCAGGCCAATGTTCTAACTGCTGAGCCACAGCAGCCAGGGCTGTACCTTTTGATTTTTTTTTTTTTTTTTTTTTTTTTATTCTCACCCGAGGACATTTTTCCATTTTTTGTTCAGGTAGAGTGGGAGGGAGAGAGAGGAACAGAGAGAGAGAGAGAAACATCGATGTGAAAGGAACACATCGAGTGGCTGCCACCCGCACAACCGACCAGGGCCGGGGACAAACTGCCACCGAGGTACGCGCCCTTAGCGGGAACCAAACCCGGGTCTCTCAGGACTGCAGGCTAACCGCTGAGCCAAACTGGCCAGGGCATACCTTTTGATTTTTTAATGTAATCTATTTAAAATCTTAATAAAATTAAAGTTTACCCAAATAAAGTGTACAAGTTCTTTCAATAAACAATTTGTCAACTAGGAAATTATCCTATGGATACACATTTGTAGCAGTTCACAAAGATGCATTTGGAAAAATATTCTCTGAGAAATGTTTTCAGGGACAAAATAACTCAAAACCATTTAAACATCCATCAGTATGATTAAGGACAGCACAATGATTAGAGGCACAGATCTGAACCACAAGTCACTAGGCTAATGACAGCTTTGGCCCAATGGTGTGCTGGACCAGCTCAGATCAGTCCACAAGGACCAACTGTTACATGTCTAGGAATGTTGCAAGCCAGTTGATAAACACAGTCATCAGGAACAACTAAGTTATATAAATTTACAACTAAATTGTTTAAATATAAACAAATAAATTATATTAAAAACAAAACTTATCCCTTCCTAATAATGTTTCTACATTTTGCTATTCTCTTTGATGAGGTTTCTTTACATCTCTCTTAACATGAATCCGTGTGGTGAAAATGGTGCTATTTAATGGCGTGCTACTGCACATGACCCCATGGTCAATGGCGGCTCCTTGGTAGCTTGAAATCAGCCACAGTGGGAATATTTACACCAGGGAAATCAGCAAACACTATAATTCAGGACTTTTCTTTGAGAAAATCCAGTTGTCAAACATGTGCCAGGATACCACTGTCTTTAAGAATGTACTAAAATATATAGGACATCAAAAAGATATATAATAACAAGTGTGGGCAAGGATACAGAAAAACTGGAACCCTCACACATTGCTGGTGGAAATGTAGAATGGTGTAACCACTTTGGAAAACAGTGCAGCAGTTCCTCAAAAGGTTAAACATAGAGTTACCATAGGATCCAGCAATACCACTCCTAGGTATCTCTCTGAGAAAAAGAAAAATATATTCCAACACAAAATCTTACACACAAATGTTCATAGCATTATTCATAAGCTGAAAAGTGGAAACGAGCCAAGTATCCACCAACTGATGAACGGATAAACAAATGAGACATGTCCATACAATGGAATATTACTTGGCAATAAAAAGAAATGAAATACTGATACACACTACAACATGAATGAACCATGACAATGTGCTCAGTGTCCAGAACAGGCAAATCCAAAGAGACAGAAAACAGATCAGTAGATACTTAGGGCTGAAGAGGGAGGGGGAAATGGGGAGTAACTGCTAATGGATGTGGGTTTCTTTTTGGGGTGATGAAAAGGTTCTAAAATTGTAATAATGGTTACCCAGCTCTGTGAATTATACTAAAAAAGCACTGAGTTGTACACTTTAAACAGGTTAACTATATGGTATATGATTTATATTTCAATAAAGCTCAAAATAAAAATCCACAGGACACCCAGACATAGATTACTGGGACCCAGGTCAGTGGGAGATAATAACAGAGAAACAAGCCTCACGGGACTACTCCTGAGACACACTGAAGAGAGGAGAAAACTGCAATTTCCTAGGAGGAACCACCAGTCTAGAGGTCCCCAACTGTAGGACTTCAAGCTGTGTCCAGTTCAGTCCAGCCTTGGCATGTTCAATTTCAAGCCAACATGTTATAATCATGAGTTTTCATATTTTTTAAAAACCAGACTTTCAACATTTCTTGCATCAGAGCTGTCGCAGCATTTCAACATCAGAAGACAGCAGCCTGGTTCCCATGCTCAGCGCCGGCTGCAGCCACTCCAGGCACAAGCTCCCCATTGCTCCCTGGCACCTCCCTTCCACTGGGGCTGGAAGTCCATTACCACATATCATCACAGCTACCATTTTTCACAGAGCTGTGGGGAGTGCACACAGTCTTCCTGTTTCACGGGCTAACAAGGTAGTCTGCATCAAAGAGCCAACTTTGCCCTGGCCGGTTTGGCTCAGCAGTTCGAGCATCTTGGCCGTGGACCAAAGAGTCGAGGGTTCAATCCCAGCACGTACCACAGTTGTGGTTCGGTCCTGGTCCTGGCCCTGGTTGGGGTCGTGCAGGAGGCAACCAATCAATGTTTCTCTCTTTCTGTCTGTCTCTCTCTCTCCCTCCCACTCTATCTGCAGATAAATGGCAAAGTACCCTCTGGTGAGCATTTAAAAAAAAAAAGAGCCAGCTCTTCCTCCCATGTATCAGCCCCCCTTGCACGTGGCCTGTCTGGCACCAGTGGGTATGGAAGGATGCAATTCCTGTGTTAGCTTCTAAGTGCCAGGAAGATAGGACCATGGCTGTTGTCTGGTTCACAATTTATCTCAGGTGGAGCACAGATATGGCATAAAATAGAACTCTCAGTAACCACATGATAAGAGCAGGAACAAATGCAGCCAAAAGCCCATGTCCTTGACTCATTCGACCCCACAGAAGCCATTTGAAGCCAACAGCACACGGAGCCCAGGTATTCTTCCTCTTCTCGCCCCACCTCTTTCTGCACAAAGCCTGTCCTCCCAATCATGTCTCATTTAAGGCAAACTTTCCTCCCTGAGCCTGCCACAGGAGAAACAGGTAGAACATAATGTCCTGTCAGGTGTGTTCTCCGATCTCTGAAGTTTTTCAGCCCACAGCACACCCTCCAACGTGGCATCAACACTTACGCTTGATGAGGTACCCCGGCGAGTGAGCAGCGACGATGTGCAGGACGGTGCAGCCGTCCTTGTCCTTTTGGTTGACACGGCCTTTCCACTCGGGTTGGTGCTCCATTAGCCACCGGAACAGATGGTTTTCCCCTGAAGGGTATGAACATGACTTACTGATGTTCTTTCCTGCACACAGAAAATCAGCAAAGCAGATCGATGCGGACCACACTAAGGGGACCCAGCGGGGAATCTGATACACATTGCCACTCACCACACACAAGTGTGGGAGACACAGGGGTTTGTGAATGAAAGGGATGAGTTTTAGAAAGTTACAATACACTTAAATCAGCTTCCTTAGAAGCAAAGCCTGAGACAGAGATTCGTGGCCATGTGACTTACTGAGAGAGGACGCTCAGGAGACAGTAAGGGAGGAAGGAATAGGACAGGGAAGGAGGCGAGCAGAGAGGTGGTCCCAGTTGCAACCACTCCAGCCTGATGCCACGGGGAGCTCTGGAGCATGAACTGCACTGCAGAGCTGACCCACCTGGAGGCAGAGGCTGGCCTTCTATACCCCCATGTCAGTCAGCTGAGACCTATAGGATGCCCCCGGGAAGAATGTGAGGTCGAGAGAGAAGCTCCCTGGGATGTGGTGCCTGTTGGCAAACAGTTCTCTGTCAGGGCCGCCAACACTCAGCACGTGGGGATGATCACTGGTGGTACAGAGGAGCTGGGCAGGGCCTAAGCGTGCCCATCAAGTCAGCATCTCTGCACAGATTGCCACAGTGCTGTCCATAGGACATATATTTTTAATTCTTTTCCCAGACTCCTTTCATTGTAGTTCCTGGGATTGAAGAAAGCCACATGCTTTTGCCAATTCAGTGGACACCACTGGTCACCATGTCAGAGTTTCCCTCTCAGAAGTGAATCAGGGATGAACTTGACTTGATTTTATTGATGCCTGCCTATGCCCACAGGAGCCACCTTAAAGAGTAGACAGGATAAGAAGTTCTGACTTTCATAACCAGAAGCACACTCCTCTGGGTTCCAGAGTCCTCATTTGAAACTGGGAAAACTGGATTAGATTGCTTTTAATCAAACTTTATCCGATATTTTATCCATCAATCCTTGTTTAAGAATAAAGTCTCTTATAGGTTCCCCAATACATAAAATGAATAATGGCAGGGCAAATCTGGCTAAAGCAAAGATGGGGACCAGGTCTGCAAGCTCCTGGCCTGCACCACTCCCTCACTCCTGGGGAGATGACAGCCTAGAAAAGGAAGACTGTCTAGACAAGTTCTCTTGGCCCCTCTGGCTCTAAAATGATACGGGTAAATATCCAACAGTGACGATGCCACATCTGCTTGGAAAATAAAAACAAGCTCCTGTCCAAAGTGTAAAATGTGTGTGTGTGTCTATCTGTGTGTCTGTGTGTATCTGTACGTCTGTGTCTGTGTGTATATCTGTGTGTCTGTGTGTGTATCTGTGTGTCTGTGTGTGCATCTGTGTGTGTGTGTCTGTGTATCTGTGTCTGTGTGTGCGCGTCTGTGAGCGTGTCTGTGTGTGTATCTGTGCGTCTGTGTGTGTCTGTGTGTTTCTGTGTGTCTGTGTGTGCATCTGTGTCTGTGTGTGTGTGTCTGTGTTTCTGTTTCTGTGTGTCTGTGTGTGCATCTGTGCGTGCATCTCTGTGTGTGTCTGTGTGTGTATCTGTGTGTCTGTGTGTGTATCTGTGTGTCTGTGTGTGTGTGGTAATTTTTTTAAAAAGACTTTTATGGAAATAGGAATCCTTTTTTTTTTTTTTTAATCCTCACCCGAGGACATTTTTACATTTTTTGTTCAGATAGAGTGGGAGGGGGAGAGAGAGAGAGAAACATCGACGTGAAAGGGACACATCGAGTGGTTGCCACCCGCACAACCCAACCAGGGCCGGGGACAAACTGCAACCAAGTTACATGCCCTTAGCGGGAACTGAACCCGGGTCTCTCCAGACCGCAGGCTAACGCTCTAACCGCTGAGCCAAACCGGCCAGGGCGGAAATAGGAATCCTTTAAAAGACCACAAGCAATCTGTATCAGCAATAGCCAGTGTTTCCCTACCCCCACCGTAGGCGGCCCTCTGGGCTACAGACAAAATGAACTTGAACCTTGGACAAAGACCACATCTGCCTTTGCCAGGAGGAGGAAACCCACAGCTGTCCTGGGAGCTCTGTCCAGCAAAGGCTGCACACTCATCCCATTCCTTGGGCCCCAGGGCTCCACCCAACTGCCAGGATCTAGGAACACAGAATCCCTTCAACCCAGGTCTCCTGTAGCTACTAGGTCCCAGGAGAAATAAAAACGATGCTGTTTCACCGCTTCCTTCATTCATTTGAATAATCAATCACTAAATATCCAAAACATCTGAACAGTCTCCACTCAAGTGGCTAAATTCTGCTTTCACTGGAGCTCAGCCAGAGCTCAGAGCTGGAAGGGCACCTGGAGGGTGTGTAGCTGGGAGAACACTCACTTGCTTGGATACAGAGGCGCATGAGTGCGTGAAGAGGATACGGTCCTATAGTTTCTATACTTGCACCAATGGAGATAAGCCACTGGACTAACTTGGGAATCTGTTCCATTTTCTCATACGATCCAATGCAGACATATTTCTGGAAAAGAAAACAACAGGAATACCCACGCAAGTCACTCTGTCAACATGTAACATTAAACTCCTTCACCCATAAAGTTCAAAATCAGTAAAACCTGGATTTGTTGTGGCCCAGGCAAAAGAGTATTATAAATAACAAATTTGCAGTTAGGCAGCTGAAAAAGAAGGTCCCAAATCCAAGCCCAAAGGAAAATCCTATGCTTCAAAAAGCCACCTTACCTCAAAGAGACTTTTCAGTGATAACTCTGGGACATGGATGTTTCTTGGTAGTCGATCTTTCTTTGCTGACAGAAGTAGAAATGACTGATGAGGGCAGAAAAAGAAAGGGTTGAAATAATGATCTTCTCCACATGGGTTATTAAAGCAAAGGTTACCTTAAGCTTTAAAATGAACAAACAAAACAAAACACCCACTGGCCCTGTCTCTTTTTTTACGCCACCTGCCATGCTTTTCAGCCTGAGCCGTGATAATCGAAGTCTCTCTGTTCTTGCTGAAAATGAAACTCGAAGCCTGCTGAGGACAGGAGCAGGGTATTGTCAGCGAGACAACAGTGAAGTGGAGTAAGAAAGCAACTCCCTGCAAAGTTCTTCAAGCTTAGCAAGCAGAAGAATCAAGTCCTTTAGATATATTATCCCAATTAATTCTTTGGCACATACGCCCCAGGTCTTTGGGGTCCATGAGAACCTATCGAGTGGTGGGCTGGAGCTGGCTTCTAACAGCTACTGAGACTGTTAGATGTGACTGTGCACATCTCTTCCCAACTCTAAGTCCCATAGTCGTTTTAGTTGCTTGAAATTGGCCATGGTTGAGAGTATTTACACTACAGAAACTGGCAAACACTATAAATCAGGACTGTTTTTCTCAGAGAGCCAGTTGTTAAACTACTGAGGAAACAAAATCCCAGAACAGTTAAGCAATTTTTCTTGGGTCACACAGATAGCCCATCCTGAGAGGCCCTTTATTGGGATCATCCAGGTATGCCAATAGGTCTAAGAGGTACAGCTCTGGGTTGGCCATGACAGGAGATCCAGTCTCAAAATCAGCTTCCCTCGTGTGTGCTCTTGCCAGGAACTGAGCCTATGACCACACTTGCTTCCAGTTTCTTTCAGTGTGATAACCACTCACTCTAAACAGGCCCCACTGCCCATATTAATCCAAGATGACAGTTTGAAGTTCTGACAGTCCTGACTGCTGGCCCAGGAGTTGTGTGTGTGTGTGTGTGTGTGTGTGTGTGTGTGTGTGTGTGTTTTCAGTAAGTAGGCTCTTTCTAATGAAACTCCCAGCCTTGGCCGACTCATTCTCAGGAGCACTTGTAGGTCACCATCAAGGACAACTACTATTCTGTGGGCATTCAGCACATGCCAGGTATTGTAAAATTCCTTTAGCTCAGTTCCTGGCACATTGTAAGCACTGAATAAACATTGGCTGGTATTCTTAGTAGGTGCTCTTGGTCCATTATTTCTAAGCCCCACCAAAACCCTGAGGAAATAGGTTTACATCCTGCTACTTACAAATGAGGAAATGAGGCTGAAAGGGGAAGTCATTAGTCCAAAATAGAGAGTGAAGGGTCAGGATTCACAGAGACATCTGTCTGACACTGTAGCCAGACTCCACAGTCCATTCTGATCCTCCATTCCATGGATTGCTGGCTCTGGGTTCAGGTCCTACAGCCTCAAGGCTACCTCTGGGTAGCAGTCTCTTAAAGCTACCCAGAAACCCTCCAAGCACACAGGCAGGTCACCTCCTGCACTAGCACATGCAGCATCAAAGGATTATGAAGATGAGCATGCACTGTTTCTTCTCCTCATTCCATGTCATCACTCACACTTGGCCTTCACATTTCTTTGATGACGATGGTAATCCAGAGCAAGGCGTGAGGCTGCCACAAACTAAGTGTATTTCCTATCTTCTAAAAAAATGAAAACTAGCTAATGAATTTCTCTCAGTGACTTTCCATCCTTCACAATGTTATAGTTAAAAAGTTATTTTGGCCCTGGCCGGTTTGGCTCAGCAGTTAGAGCGTCAGCCCGCAGACCAGAGAGTCTCTGGGTTCGGTTCCCGCTAAGGGCATGTACCTCGGTTGCGGTTTGTCCCCAGCCCCGGTTGGGGTCCTGTGAGTGGCAGCCAGTCAATGCGTGTTTCTCACATCAGTGTTTCTCTTCCTCCACCTCTCCATCCTGCTCTATCTGTTTTGTTTTTTTTTCTTTTGGTACGTGCCCCTAGCGGGAACCAAACCTAGGACTCTGGTCCACAGGCCGACGCTCCAATCGCTGAGCCAAACCAGCCAAGGCACCTCCTGCTCTATCTGAACATAAAAGAAAGAAAAAAATGTCCTCAGGTGAGAATAAAAAAAAAAAAGTTATTTTGGCATCGAGATAAATAAATGACACCCCCCAGGGCCAGCAGAAAGAAACCATTGAATGCAGAACATGCTCTCCGCACAAGAGAGCCACCTCCTTTTACTTACATGCCATAATCCTTTCTTTGCCAACTTTTCTATGACAGATTGCCACACCTCTGTGGAGAATCCAGTAGTGAAAATGTGATCAAAGTAGGGCAAGAAACTTTGCAAAACAATGGGATCACCTGAAAGAAAGTGCCATAGTTTAGACATTTTAACTCAGGGAAAGGCCAGAACATTTGGGAAAAGCTCTTCCAATTCAGACCACACACAGACAAATGATAAGTAAATGATGTTTGAAGTTGCAATCATTTTAACTTCGGGTGACAATTGCCCAGCTGGATTGAACATCATCCCATGGACTGAGAGGTCCTTAGGGTTCGATTCCCAGTCAGGGCACATGCCCGGGTTGCGGACTTGATCTCCAGTAGGGGGTGTGCAGGAGGCAGCTGATCGATGTTTCTATCTTTCTCCCTTCCTCACTGTCTAAAAAATCAATAAAAACATACTTTTTAATTCAGGTGACAATCAATCCCCTAAGAGTTAGACAGCATAATGTGAACCAACATTCACTTAGCTTTTCTATTCACCAAATCCAGTGATATGTGTTTATATTTAACCCCTCAAACAAGCCAAGAGGGCAGTGGCTATTCTCTCCACTTATAGAGGAGGAAATGGAAGCTGACGGAAGTTACACAATCCACTTCCTTGAAGAAACGTGTGACAGGCCCTGGCCAGTTTGGCTCAGCGTCTGAGCATCGACCTGCAGACCAGAGAGTCCCCCAGGTTCAGTTCCCACTAGGGTCACGTACCATAAAAAAAAAAAAGAAAGAAAGAAAGATAAGTGTGAAATATTATCCTCACCCAACAGATGAGAAACCATCACAAATGAGTTCAGCCTTCATGGCATATCATAGCCAAAAATAAGACTGTAACCCATATCTCACAACTCTTTTAGTCAATCACATTCTTCTAACCTGGCAGCCCAGCAACCTTGTATCCCATGATCCTTCAAACCACGTTTCTCAAGCTCAGGGAAGAGAAAAACATACAAGGGGAAAAGCCAGACAGAATAACATGGCACTTCTTCCGGGGTTATTAATTTCCAAAAATTAGTAAATATCAAAATAACCATATATTATATAAAAGGATATACAATTTCCAAAAGTACATTTTCCAAAATTTAAAAATTGGGCATGGGCACACTTTCCCGTCCAAGTACTTTTGTAGGAAAGTCTGGGAGGCCTTGCCCTAAGAAGTCCTGTTAACTGCTCCCTCTAAGGATGGTAGCAGAATAGAAACCATCCAGATTTCTTCAAGGGACAGTCATCAAGAGCAGTTGTTTATCCCACCTGGTTTCTGACAGAACAATGACTTTCAAAAGAACAGAGAAGACGTGAGGAAGTATATGGGAAGGACAAGCCATTTGATTCTGAAAAAGGGAAGCAGTCACTGTTGGCAAGTGAACAACTGGAAATCTGAAGACCTTCTACCTCTGTCTAGGACACACGGCTGTGCCCACCTCTCATCCCATCCCACTACTGAGACTGCTCTTAACCCTCTCTGTGCCTATCTTGCCAAAATCTGTAGGACTTCACCCACAGACCACAGAAGTCACTTTCCCACAGTCGAAATGGGAACAGTTGGATGTTTAACAGTTGAATCTGTCGCCAGCAGTGATTTCCCCACTTCTGAAAGCCACTTTTCACATTCTAACATCTCTAGAATCAGGATAAGTGTTACAACTGATGTTCTCTCGATGGCAGAACATACACTTAAATCAGTACGATCTTCAATCTGATCAAAGGTAATATTTTAAAACAATGGCCTGGTTACTGGTGAAACTTTCGAAGGAGCTCCTTTGTCACTGATAAGGAATATATTACACTGTGCTTTATGATTTCCTGTCCAGGTCACTGACAAAGCCACCTCATGCGTCAGCATCTAGCAGTGACACGCAAGGCCTCCCATGTGTCACTCCCAGATCACGTGCCTGGGTCCTCCGCTGCAGTGAGCATCACAGCCGGGACACTGAACACTGCACCGCTGTCAGCTTTCACGAGACCTCTGTCAGCACTTTCAGGTTACTTTCATAGCAAACCAGAATATTTTCTAAGCACACTGAAGAAATATGCAAAAATCACAAGGAAGGGCAAAAAAAAAGTACATAGAGCAAGTTGTATAACTAGGGAAAACTGTAGGAACAGCAATAGGACTTTGTCATTTTTACAAAAGCATGAGCCACCAAAGCTTTCAAAATGCTTTCTAATGTGAAAACCAGTTTCATTCAAACTACATAAATCAGCCACAAAAAAGCAGCCTGTAATTATCTCCCCAGGAGCCCAAGTCCAAAGGAGAAATTCTAGTAAAATAACCAGGACTGGAAGGAAGGAAGGAAGGAAGGAAGGAAGGAAGGAAGGAAGGAAGGAAGGAAGGGAGGGAGGGAGGGAGGGAGGGAGGGAGGGAGGGAGGGAGGGAGGGAGGAGAGGGAGGGAGGGAGGGGGAAGAGGGAGGGAGGGAGGGGGAGGGGGAGGGGACGGGGAGAAGGGGAGAATGCTTCCCCATGTCAGACTTACCGCCCATTGTGGTGAAGACTCCCACAAGGAAATCAGCAAACTGGCTCTGATCGCCATTGTCTTGAAGAAGTTGAAGACCTTCAAAAAACATGCGAGCAGCCTCATAATGCTGGAGCAACCGCAGTAAGGAGTAACCAGCTCGGTAGTATCCCTGGACCGAAAACAAAGGAAAACCTTAACACCCATCTCTTTCTTCCCCTATGCTGCTGAAAGGATGAGCAAGATTAAGGACATGGGGAAATGGACCCCAGAATCTCGCTTCTGTGTCAACACGGATTTCTAACAGGCACTGCATACAGGATTGCCACACTGTGTTCTGTGCCACATTCTTGCTGTCATTTTCTAACTGCTAAGAAAAGAATCCCTTTCAAATCTGGGAAATACACAGCATCTAACATGTGACACAGAGAGAAGGAAGCTGGCCTGCTTCCAATTATGTGTGTGGCTTATTTATCCATAACTCATATCACAGCCTGCACAAGAAAGGAATAAAAAAAATCCTATGACAACATGAGATTGTCATGTAACACAGAAGTTATTCCGTGCTCTTTTCAATCAAAGTGAACACAATTTGCACTGGGCATGTAGGTGAAAAAAATTGTAATCACAAGCACTGAGATTTACAGAACTCCACATTATGGACAAAAACAAATGTTGTTTTTCATTTCTGTAGAGACAGGAAAATTACAACGATTAATATACTAAAATGGTCTATTTTGCCTGTATACAAACTGTGATGCAAAGGCCTCCCATGCCCTGGCCGGGTGGCTCAGTTGGTTGGAGTGCCATCTCATACATAAACAGGTGGTGGGTTCAATTACCGGTCAGGGCACATACCTAGGTGGTGGGTTTGATCCCCAGTCAGGGCATGTGCAGGAAGTAACAGATCTGTTTCTCTCTCTGTATTTCTCTCTCTCTCTCTCTCTCTCTCTCCTTCTCTCTCTCCAAAATCAATAAACATATCCTTGGGTGAGGATAAAGGGGGGGGGGGGGAGAGGCCTCCCAGGAGTCTTGTACTGTAGTTTGAGTAAGAACAAAATAATACCCCTGCCTTGCTCACTCTGACCATCCATCTGCACTGCCACTTAAAATTCGACTTAATACCAACTCTCTGATCACTTAGTGATTTGTCTTAACCTTCATTTGAATGTCTCAACCACAGAGAACAATCAGAAAAAAAATGTGCTGTTGTTTCTTTCCAACCAGGCAAACTCATGCAGAACTCCCCATTTCTTTGGCTTCCTCAGGATTAAGTCTCATCTTTTTATTTTGGAGAGGGATATGGGGGGATCAGAATATGCCACCCCAAAATATGAAATGAGGACTGCATAAATCCCCTCCCGGGAATTTTTATGGCCACAGAAGAGACAAAGTCGGCAGGGAGATGGGCCTGCACAAACTAATATCGCCAAGAAAGCCCTTATCTCCTTAGTTTCTCAGGGTATTTACTTCACGATTCACAGACCCTGAGTCTTTAAAACCCTGTCCTTTGTCTTATCATGCCTCCAGTTTATCGCCCTCCAGCCCATCCACTTCTTTTCTCAGAAGCTCCCATGTCACACCAAAATTAACATCAAATAAAATCTGCGTGCTTTTTCTCTTGTTCATCTGTTTCTTAGGCTCATCTGCAGGGCTCTACGCCACTGAACCAAAAGAGGATAAAGGAAAAGGTTTTTTAACTCCTCCATTATGGAGGACATTTTGGGGGGAAGAACGAACAGGGGAAAGAATGGAGAAGGAGAGAAATACCCAGGAATTCAGGGTAAAAATGAGGGAGGGTTGCTATGCTGTCAGGGGCTGCTGCCGATTTGGCCACTCAGGTAAAAGCCAAGGGGCATTATCCAGGACCCCCTTTGCCCTCTGTGGGCCACAGGAAAGCAGGCAAACCCCAACAACTCCCCACCCTATCCCAGGGACAGGATGGGAAAATCCTAGATCTTTGGGCAAAATTCTTCAGGAATGCATTACCATTTTCAAAAATATTCAATCATTTCTAAAGTATCTGTCCTCCAAGAGAAGAGGTTTCCTATAAAGTATACAGGCCCCTCCCTCAAGGTTGGTGTAACCTTTAGGTCCAACCTCCTAGCCACTTCCTGCTATATTGTTTCTAGCAGTCAGACATCAAATGCAGAGCCCTGAGGACACAGTACAGACTCCTGTTTACTGGATTTCAGCAGCTTTACATCACGTCTCCGGAATCCTTGAAGCAAATGTAGGACAGAGGTATCATCTCACTTTACAGCTAGGGAGATGGAGGCTTGGAGAGGGAGAAGGAACTCATCGGGAACTGTGGAAACCAATCCAAGCAGAGTACGAGGGAGAAAGGGCCTCTCTGTAAACCATCTCTACCACTAATTTGACACTTAAGTGCATGTTGCCTCAGATAGTTCCAGACTGCAATTTAAGGCCCCTGATTTTGCACATGCTTTTCCTCTCCCCAGCTTGACTATGAATTTCTCAAGGTCTGGGATGGCATCTTCCACTTCTTTTGTCTGCCTTGGGGCACCAAGAACTTGAAGGTGCCTGGCAGAGGGCACTCAAAGCATTTTAGCTGGAAAAACAATCAAATGATTATTTACTGACCTTTGTTAACAGCCTTAAAGTGTCTTACTAGCCTCTCAAACCTTTCTGATCCCTCCAAGGGGCCTTATTTCTATTATAAGAAATGCGTCCTCAAGAATCAGTGTCATGTTGTCCACCCAGCTTGCATCTGAAGTGAAGCTTTGCTAAAAGTGAAACTTGCAAACAGCAAAGAACAGGAACAGACTATGAATTCTGGTGTCACTACTTCAAAACAAAACGAGCTCCAAGTGGATCTCCACTGCACTCCACCCACCATGAGGCCCAGCTCCGCTCTCCCCTACAAGGGCATTTCAACACTTTGCCATCATTGGTTTTACTCTTATTTGGGTACCACACACATGCCCTGTGGGCATCTGTGTGAAGTACAGAGAGAGGTGAATTAGAAGCACTCCCATCTTAGAAAGAGGCAGGCTAAGAGGAAGGAGGCCGCTGCCCCCAGCAGTCACACGCACCCTACCTTCACATAGGTTGGATCCCACTGAAGACATTCCTTGGCAGCCCCAAATGCCTCGTTCCATTTCCCAAGGTTGTAAAATGCATTGGATTTGTTGCACAGTAGCACAGCCAAGTCCCTGGGGGGAGCCCTGTGAAAAAGAACAAGCTGGAGATCTGTAAAATTATCTTCCTGCAAATACAGAAAGCAATCCTTGAAGGCCATCGCTTTGGTGCTGGCTGCTGCCATCCTGCTGGGGTTTCAGCAGGGAAGGTCCCAGGTATGCCTGTCAGAGCTGATCTCTGTAGAGTCCTAGAAAGCCTGGGGCACTCACAAGGTACAACTTGCCCTTCCTCACTCCCAAATCCTCTGCTCCCAGCTTTTAATGGCAAATGTTCTCAATACCTTGGTTCCATTTCTATTGGGCTCCACAGATCTTTTTATTTTTGGAGACTACTGGTGAACATGCTGCAAAAATGGTAACTAAGAATGGTGAGGATGGGAGTCTTCCCATTGAGTGTGAGCAAAGTCCAGACATGGTGTGAACACACTGCACATGTGTTCCTGCTAAATGGAAGCAGAACATATCACAGGAAGGCCTTTCAGAACACATGCCCACACCATCCCCATAGATCCACTACGAGAGGCCCAGGCCGAGCACTGTTCTATTATATTGGTAAGGCCACCCGAACATTTGAAGGACCCAGAGCCAGAGTACAAACAGAGCCTCACACACCATGTGGCTAAAATGCACTAGCCACATGCAGCTATTTAAGTTTACATTAATTTAAATAAATAAAATTCAGTTCCATAGTTGCATTAGCCACATTTCAGTATTCAACAGCCACCTTCTATATTATAGATCATTTTCATGAGCACAGAAAGTCCTACTGGACAGTGCTAGTCTAAGCATTTGAAGGCCATGACTCAAGCTTACAAACTCCTCAGTGAAATATGTTCTACCCTCCTAGTTTATAATAGCTGGAAGACAAGGTTCAAATTTAGATCTGCAGGCACTGTGTCAGGGCATGGTGAGCCAGGCCCGTACCCCTGCCCAATCTCTCCTCTCTCTCCACCTCAGCCTTCATCCTGACCTGCAGGAGGCACAATTCCAAACTCTGTCCACACCCCTGACCTTGGCCAGACCTCAGAAGAATAGGTGCAGGCAAGAGGCTTATGCAGGGCCTAGGAACAGAGTCCCTGGGCATAAATACCAGGGTCCTACCACCCACGGTGTGGACCAAAGGGGACAAAAGGGCTCTGGATGGATAGAGCCCCTGGCCCAACAGACTCATGCTTGTGGGGAGGCATACAGCTGGGGGAAGGTTAAAAGGGGTCCCTCTAAAGCATGGCAAGGTGGGACCCTTCTTGCCTGGGTCTCAGGATAACACAACTGCAAGGTTAGTGCTGAAACCAGATCAGAAAAAGAAGGAAAACAGAAAATATATCACAACATATTAACAGAAGCCCAGGTGCCATTGAATTCAAGACAGTGGGAAAAAGCAAGGCTTAGGCTTCTTTATTATTGAATATCCATATCTATATCTATATCTATATCTACATCTACATCTACATCTATATCTATATAATTTGTTATTGCTGTTGTTAATCCTCATCCAAGGATATTTTTTCCATTGATTTTTAGAGACAGTAGAAGGGAGGGAGGAAGAGGAACACTGATATGAGAGAGACACATCGATTGGTTACATCCTGCACGCGCCCCAACCAGGGCCAGAGATCGAATCTGCAACCCAGGCACATGCTCTTGACCAGGAATCAAGCCTGAGACCCTTTGGTCCATGGACCGATGCTCTAACCACTGAGCAACACCAGCCAGGGCTTGAATATATTTTTAATTTTGAAAATGATACAAATCATTATAGAAAAGTTAGGTGATGCAGATAAGCACAAAAATAAAGCAAAGAAAAAATTACTTTTGCTATTGTCTACATCCCAATGTTTTGTGTCCAGCTTCTCTCAGCGCCCACCAATCCCTCTAGGGCAAGAGATGAGGCCCCAGAAGCACAGACAAGGCAGGGGGCATCCAGTGGGGCACTGGCAAGGGCTGTGACTGAAGTGTAGTAGATGCCCTGGATTCTGGCCCAGATACCCTGGCCAGTGCAGCCATCCCCATCTGCAGTGAGTGTCGCCTGCAACCAGGGGCTCCAGAGACTTATCCTCAGGCTAACGGGAGCACCCTCTCCTCAGGAAGTTGTGCTCCTGCTATAGCCTGAAACGTGTCCCTGCCTGAACTCTTATGTTGAAGCCCTAGCCCCCAATGTGATGGTGTCTGGAGATGGGGCTTTGAGGAAGTGATTAGGTTCAGATGAGGTGATGAGGGCGGGGCCTTCAGGATGGGGTTAGTTCCCTTATAACAAGAGACACCAGAGAGCTTCCTTGCAAACCAAGAAGAAAGCTCTTACCAGGAACTGAACTGGCCAGCAGATTCCCAGCCTCCAGAACTGTGGGAAATAAATTCCTGTTGGTTAAATCACTAGTCTATGGTATTTTGTTACAGCAGCTCAAACTGATTAATAGAACCCCACTCCCTAGACAACTCCCAGGGGTTGCACAGCTAACAACCAATGATGGACTAACATGGGATACAAAAGGTCTGTCCCCTTGCCCCAAAGTGGGACCAGCTCTGCAGTACAACTCATATGCCAAAGTTCCCCAGGAGATCAGGCTGAAGGGGACTCAGGTGAGACAACAGCCCTGCTTGGAGCCGTCCTCTGCCCCATCCTGCTTCCCTCAGTCCTGGTCTCCTGAGAACACTTGCTCTGCAAACCACATGCACCCAAAGCCCTGTGTCAGCAGGGAGGCAGGAAAGAGACAGTGTCAGGAAGGTCCATGAAAGGCAACATGTGAGAGTCCGGGCAGAAGTCCCATTAGTGGTCACACAGCTAGTAAGCAGTGAGCTGACATCTGAGTACTCACAGTGTCAGTCTATGGACATAACCACCTTTCCAACGATACGGCTTTAAGAAAGCTGGATGTTTTGCCCTGAATGAGGAGTTCTAGGACCAGCTCTGACACAGTTCTGATTTGAACCAGAAGGGGGCAGAGTGACAGAAATACAGGCCCAAGTCAACTACACTCAACTCAGATCCAGCTGGAGTGTAGATCCCATGGTGATAGGGAGATAGGGAGTGGGAGCCACCTTTCAGTAATTGAATTCAGTGCCATTTCTAAGTACAACTTTAGGCTGCATGTACCCCACAAGTGCCAAGCTCTGCTTCTTCTGCTACAGCTATTCCCAAAATATGATCTCGAAGTATGAGTGGGGGAGGAGGGGTTTCCAAGACCATTTCAGGTGGTCCATAAGGTCAAAATATTTTCACAATTGTAGTGGACTGTATAATGGTTCCCAAATAATGTTACCTTTTATGGCAAAAGGGACTTTGCAGATGTGTTTAATTTATGAACCTCGGGAAGACATTGTTCCAGATTATATACAATCACAAGTATCCTTATGAGAGACAGAGAAAGAGAGAGAGAGAGAGACCGGCTACAGCAGAGGAGAAGGTGATTGATGACGATGCAGACTGAAATGATGTGCTATGAAGATGGAGGAAGGGGCCACAAGCCAAGGATAACAGGCAGCCACTCAAAGTTCAAAAGGCAAGGAAATGGATTCTTCTCCACAAGGAACCAGCCCTCCCAACACCTTGACTTTAGCCTTGTTGAGACTCATTTCAGACCTCCGACCTCCAGAACTGTAAGATGATAAATTTGTATTGTTTGAGGCCACTAAGTTTGTGGTAACTTGTTACAGCAACAATAGGAAACTAATACAATAACAATACTAAGACACTCTGTACCTTTTTCACACTCATTCTCTCACACGTGTTCCAGGGATTTTCCAGAGGCTACATGATGTGTACTATCACAACAGATTGAATGCAGAAACAGATGTGAGAGGCCAGATGTCTTCTACTGAGACAGACATTAAAGGGATTTGCAAAACTGTAAAATGTGCCGGTCTTCTCACCAAACCATTTGCTTTGGAAAATACAGTTATTTTTCTTTAAAATGTTATTTATATTAATATGCAATGAATTTCTTATTGATATTTTTAAATAGATGAATAAATACATACTTTGAATTTCTCTCAGTTCTAGGTTCTGATACAGACAATACTGACAGCCAAAAAGTTGCATAAACTAAAGCTCTTTGGGGTGTCCTCCATGACTTTTAAGCATTATCGTGATACCAAAATGTGTGGGAACAGGTCTACTAGAAGTGGAAGGGGCAGGGGAAGAGGTGAACCTCAGTTCCTGAGTGGTGTGCACTGTGGCCAGGGGGTACATGGCATAGGTGCTCAAGAAAATGAAATGAATGACAACCAAGAAGTTTGGGGACTTCAGTCATTCCGGGAAATCTGATCCTGTAACCAGACAGAAGGGAAGGTTTTGTAATGTTTATCAACAGTCCCTCCTGTTTCACTTTCCATTTCCCTGATTACTCTAGTGTTCTCTGTTCAGTTTCTGAGCTATGTAGAGAAGAGCAACAGGAAGCAGGCAAGAAAGAAAACAGAAACTAGGCAGAGTGATAAGAAATGACAAGAAAACATAAGCAACTGAGTTCCCATCTACTTGAAAAAGGTGGGGGGAAAATACAAACACTTACCCCCACTGGAGTAACTGCAGGAGAACCTGGATGGCTTCGTCGTACTTTCTGATGGCCAAAGAGTAGTTCCCATTCTTAAAAACTTGGTTGCCAGATTCTTTCAGCAGCTCAGCATAATCTGTGGGGTTCATTCTGTGAGGAGACAGAGGACAGGGCTGGCTGCCAGGCCTGCATGGGGCGATGTCCCCTTCACATCTGCATCGCTGAGAGTCTGGAGAGGCAGTTTGTTCATTCTGGCTCCACCTACCCGTGGAGGGCACACCCTAACAACACCCCTTGCCACGATGGGACTAGACAGAGAGTCTGACCAGGTCATTTCTTCCTCGATACTTTTCTGACCTCAGGGGCAGAGGCCAGAAAGAGTCCATCTAATCTGTGTTAATGATCAACTCTGCACTGAGCAAGGAGGCTGCTTCCACGCACAAGACAACATAAACCTGGCATGTAGTTTGGCTCAAGAAGTGGCAGTGGTTCCTGTAACTGCCACTATTATTATTACACTCTCATGTACCCATCACTACAGCCCACAAGAAGGTACTGTCCCCACCATTCAGATGAAACAATTCTCAAAGAGGTTTATGCCACTTGCCTTAGGATCTACTAATGACATTCCCGGTTCAGACCCCAAATTCAGGTTTCTGCTCTTGACCACTGTACCTCATCGCCTACTGGTACAAGTAAAACTCAGCTGGTAGTCCTGCTCAGAAAGGACAGGGGGAGTACAGTTCAGAAGACCACAATACACAAGGGATTACGTCACGGGACCACCAACGCCTCTCCTGTCCTCCTCCCTTCCTGAAACACGAGACAATAAGCCACGGAGCATTCATGTCTGAGATGAGTCCCTGAGTTTGCCATTGCCTGCTTATTCATCTGGTCCCCCTAAGAAGCACTGGCTTCTTTCAGGTCATGACTTCTGTCTTACTCATTTTGTAGCCCTAAGGCCTAACATATAATGGGTACTTAAATATTTGTGGGGTAACAAGTTTGAATGCCAGACCAAGAGGTTGCCTCTTACTGATTCTCTCTGGTGTGGCCTGGGTAGTCAGAGAGAAGTGCTTGAAGCCCTGCCCACATGAAGGGCCTCAGGAGAGCAGCTTGGAGAGCCTCAAGAGTAGAGGAAAGGGGGAGGGGGGCAGCTGAGATGTCCTTCAGGATTTCCTCCCCCTATGACAGCAGCAGGGAAGGGAAGGCAGTGGAGAAGGTCTTAAATAGGAGGACAATCGAGGTGTTTTGCAAATACCATGTACTTGTGGGGTTATACAATCCACTGGAGGTCTTATTAACCAACACAATTCTTGAATATACAATAACATATTATTTTTATCATTTCAAACCTTTTTTTTAATCCTCACCAGAGGATTTATTTTCACTGATTCTAAAGAGAGAGACAGAAAAAGAAACATCGATGTGAAAGTGAAACATCAATCAATTGCCTCCCATACATGACCCAACCAGGGATCGAACCCACAACCTAGGTATATGCCCTGACTAGGAATCAAACCCATGACCCTTCAGTGCATGAAACAACACTTCAACCAACTAAGCCACATCAACCAAGTCTCATTTCAAATCTTGATAAGGAGTTTTGGGTCAGAGACAGCAGACCCATGCAGGTAGGAGTAGCTTATTTTAAATCCGTACGAGCTTATTGGAAATGCAATAACTGAGCTGCATTCCTCAGACAGAGCTGTAGCAGAATGTGGCACATGATTCTTTAAACAAGTCAGGACGTGAAATTCCACTTACACTTTTCATTAAATGATCTCTCAATTCTGTGGCTCACAGTGATGTAGAGATGACTGAGGAGAACATGAAAAAAACTAAAGAACTGCCTAACTAGAGAATAGAAACATGTTTCTCTTTCAAATACTGTCAACTATTATGTCCCATAAATATTTTTTAAACTGGCCATGATCGGACAACGAGAAAAAGGAAATCGCTATTAACCAATGACAAAGGGTTAATAGCCCTCTTTTGTAAATATCTTTCCACCGCAAGAAAAGACCAATACCCTGACCAAAATGTGTTAAGTCCTAAACAGACAATTCACAAGGAATGTAAGTAATGGCTAAATATACAGAGAGAAGAGTAAACAGGATCACCTTCACTAGTGAGCAAGAAATGAAACATTAAAATAAGGTATCATTGGAAAATAATTAAAAGAATGATCCCAAGTGTTGGGCACTGTCATATCCTGCTTACAGGGGAAATACACTATATCATGGATGGATTTAGGCCCATAAATGTTGGCCACAGTGAAAAACTGGCAACAACCCTGAATGCTCCATAACGCATAATGGATTAGAATCAGTTATAGAGTATCCATGTGGTGTAACACCATGCAGTGATTTTTAAAATCACGTTGCAAAAGAAATTTAATAATAGGCTAAGTTAGTAAATAAAAAATACAAGCTATACAAAAAGGTGCATAATCCCAAATTAAATTTTAAAACCATATAATATATTGAAAATATGCCAAAATGTTAACAGTCACACTATTGGGATTAGGCAGGCTTTTAATTTTTCCAACTCTCAACTGCTCTACAATGTACATCTTTACAATCAGACCATCAAACTTTGACAGTTCTGTCAACACTACACAGAACAATCCCTGCCCTTTATTCATTTTGTTCTAGTGCTGTTCTTTTCATTCACTCACTAATTCAGTTAGGCATGTGCTCTACAGGCATCAGGGAGGACCTCAGCTCTAGGCCCCAAGCAATATTTCTGAGTCGGTCCTTCTTTATACCTCACAAGCTGCCTACAGGCATCTCAAAGTGGGGCAGGAAAGTTAAGGGGGTGGAAGCCATTGTCATCAGCTTGCATATTCTTAAAAACCATTAAAATGCCGGGCATTGTGTTTCCCTCTTGCTTATCTCTGCAACAGTATCTCTGGTTGACAAATCAGCCTCAGGTACTTATTGGGGGTGTTAACAAGTCCTCCTGTGTGATCCTCAATGCAGGAAACTCAGCTATTGTCGTTCTCTCTCCACTTGGCCTTAACACTGTGATCCTCTTTTCCTGTTGGCCAGGGGGAAGGCATTCTGGTCATCACCAATGTCTCATTCTCAGCAGCCCCCCTCAAAAGGCAGCCTCACTGGATGGGGGCCTTTCTTCTGGGAAACTCATATCCATTATCTCCATTTTGGGTTTAGCTCTAACGAATGCCGCTCCACGTTTCCATAGACTCAGGCCCTGTTTATGGTCCTAATTTCTCCAGGAAAGATTTCCAAATGCAAACAAGATGATCTTATGTCTTCTGAATATGGAGGATATGTTCTTGAAACCTCACTAGATGGAGCCCTATCACAGGCTGGGCAACCAGTGAGACTAAAGGAATCTGAGCTTCAAACCCCAAAACTCTGCTTCCATGAGCCCCCAGCAGGCTCCTCCACTGTGCCTTCCAAAGCAGTGCTTCAGTTTTGCTCTAGAACCTGCTACTTGGCCAGAATTCACTGGGGAGCTACTTGATACTCAGTGGGCTGAGGTCCTAACACAAACCCATCAGCCCCTTGAGAAGTCATGCTGCTAGAATTCATCGATTCGAGGCCTGTCAGCTCTGTGATACCCAGAACCAGGCCAGGTAAATGCTTCCCAACATGTCCATTTCTTTGGTAGGGGGTGTCCAGTTCTCTACGTTCTAGCTGGTCAAGTGGGGAGGAAACTCTCTGACATCCAAAGTCTTTAACCTAGTCCTGTCTGTGCTTCAGCTTCATCTTAGAGCAGTTAGAGCATCACATCTGTTTCCCACTCAGCCCTTTCCTAGCTGTGGAAAGCATGGTCACGTTACCTGGTCCCTCTGCGCTTCACTTTCTTCATCAGCAAAACAGGGCTGATTGAAGGGTTAAATGAAATAGTGTAAGTTATGGCCCTGGCCGGTTTGGCTCAGGGGTTAGAATGTTGGCCCGCAGACCAGAGAGTCCTGGGTTTGGTTCCCGCTAAGGGCACGTACCTCAGTTGCAGTTTGTTCCCTGCCCCGGTTGGGGTTGTGCGGGTGGCAACCACTCAGTGTGTCTCTCTCATATCAATGTTTCTCTCTTTCTCTCTCCGTCCTTTCCTCCCTCCCTCCCACTCTATCTGAAGATAAATGCAAAAATGACCTCGGGTGAGGATAAAAACTTTATAAATAAATAAATAATAACAATCCTGAAATAGTGTAAGTTATGCATGAGCTTAGTTCAGTAGAAATCCCCCCTAATGGCTCTAGGCCTATATGGTTCAATACAGAAGCCACATGGCTATTTTATATTTACGTGTTTAAAAATAAATTTATGCCCTGGCCGGTTTGGCTCAGCGGTTAGAGCGTCGGCCTGCGGTCCGGAGAGACCCGGGTTTGGTTCCCGCTAAGGGCATGTACCTCGGTTGCAGTTTGTCCCCGGCCCTGGTTGGTCGTGCGGGTGGCGGCCACTCGATGTGTCCCTTTCACATCGATGTTTCCCTCTCTCTCTCTTCCTCTCTCTCCCTCCCACTCTATCTGTACAAAAAATGGAAAAATGTCCTCAGGTGAGGATAAAAAAATAAATAAATAAAAATAAATTTATTACCCCCTTCACCCATGTTTCCCAATCCACAGCCCCACCTCTAGCGTCCACCAATTCGCTTTCTGTATCTATAAGCTTGGGTTTGTGTGTCTGTTTTAGATTCCATATATAAAAGAGATTATATGGTATTTGTCTTTCTCTGTCTGACCTATTTCATTCGCCTTTGAGGTCCATCCATGTGGCTGCAAATTTCAAGATTTCGTTCCTTTTTTTTATCCTCACCCGAGGACACTTTTCCATTTTTTGTTCAGGTAGAGTGGGAGGGAGAAAAAGGAAGAGAGAGAGAGAGAGAGAGAGAGAGAGAGAGAGAGAGAGAAACATCGACGTGAAAGGGACACATCGAGTGGCTGCCACCCGCATGACCAACCGGGGCCGGGGACAAACTGCAACCGAGGTACGCGCCCTTAGCAGGAACCGAACCCAGGTCTCTCAGGATCGCAGGTCGATGCTCTAACTGCTGAGCAAAACCGGCCAGGGCTCGTTCCTTTTTTTTTTTATCCTCACCCAAGGATATTTTTCCATTGATTTTTAGATAGAGTGGGAGGTAGGGAGAGAGAGAAACATCGATGTGAGAGAAACACATCTATTGGCTGCCTCCCATGTGACCATGACCAGGGCCAGGGACTGAATCCACATTTCTTTATAAGATGAAATTATTAAATACAAGTGGTAATAAT